CGTCCCGTTTTGCATGTTTCTCGGAAGCAAAATGAGCAAGAACGCTCGTTTTTACATCATTCCAGAGATAACTAAATGGCCTTTATTCGAAGTTTGTCAAGAACCAGTCGAGCCACAGAATTCGTTTTGGCATCGTTGGATAGAGAATTGAAAACTCGATTCAGTCGTAACAACATGAGTGAGGAAATTCGAGTGACCCAGAAAGCGAAATTTGAATATCAGACACTTAGGTGCAAGATTATTCCATGTTTTCCGTTCCGTTTTTGCTCATATCTCAGAGGCAAAAGAAGCAAGAACGCTCATTTGTACCCTWTAAAGGAAAATAAGTCTGGTGGAGCTTTATAKGTAGAAAATAATTATCTTTTCACTGTAGGATACCATTGCGAAGTTTTTAACAACCTAACAGATACGCACTTTTTCTTGGCGTAATAGGAATATTAAAGTTTTCCTCACTATTTTCGGTCATAAACAGTAATACCTGTTCTATATCTAAAGGTATGAATTTGTTTTTTCTTATTTGTTAATAGAGGTTGAAAGAGATTTAACCGTTTATTCGAACTAAAATCAAACACAGTAATTATTCAAACGCCTGATGTTTTAATAGATCGAAATAAATGTTTGTAAGAACAAAAAATTCTGCAGCGGTCTTTTTGAAAATAACTCACAGGCTTCGGGCTTTTAATAGTTGCAGCTGTAGGGCAGATTGAGCCATTTTGACTAACATCGGAGGTTTTATGTTTGGCATTAAATTTCAACGTAATCCCATCTTAAATCCACATGGTTTGCTAGTTCAATGAATGGCTGGAAAAATAACGTTTTTTTTTAAGGAAAACCTATTGGGGGTCGTTCAATCGAATTTCCTGAAACGAGGTCTAGTTTTTTTCGTGTTATTTAAAGCTGCTATCTTCCGATAGCAGCTTTAAATTACATGGAAATGTTCAAGGCAAGCTTTTTCTCAAGTTTTTCCCCTTAAGGAATGTGTTTACGACAGTTTAGCATCAACAATTTCAGGTTTTCATCAAGAAATATACACTTGAGARCGAGAGGCAATGAAAACTACTTTTCGTTTAGGCAGAAAAGTATAAAAATATTCAGAATTATTACTAGAAAAACCTAACAATCTGTTTATYTTTTTTTTWAATTAAAATTGAGGAAAACTTGTAATGATGACAATCTAAGTGYTTACAGTGACAGTAAGTTTAGCTGAATGTATTCAAAAGTTATTGATTACAGTCTGCAAGAAATATGAAAGACACAAAGTAAGGGAAGCAATTCGCRAAACGTCGCAATGATCTCCTTCCGTAATTCGACCTGGATGAAGGTTTACATGATATTAGACTTACRAGAACAGATATAGTGTGATAAACAAGCGGCACCGCTCATTAAAATATATTGGTTGCCCGCTCGGTTCGCTGCTTGCCGCTTGTTTCATCGTTGTACTTTATCTGCTTCCCACCTCTTCTTTGCAAGAAATTTAATGTTTTTTGATACATTTGCGAGCATGCATTTTGCAGAGATGAAATATTAAATCGCATCAGATATGCATACGGTTTTTGTTTTGTGTGCTCTCATTACCTCAAATTAGAACCAATAAAAAAGTTTGTTTGTTTTTCACCACTTTACTTCTAATTTATTCAACAGGGTTTTGGTACTGTTATTCATTGGTGAGGAAGAAAACGCGTTTTGTTGGGATAATTGGAGGATGGCTTTGCGATGGTAGTAGAAGTTTGCACTTTGAATTTGTTTAGAAACCATAAAACGTTTATGACAATCATGTTACTCTGTACAAAAATGTTATTCTCAAAATATCCGAAGCATGATAATGTTCTTCAGATTTTCAGCATTCAGCATTCTGACATGCAATCAAATACTGTTCTCACTTAACAATGCCCCAAAAGGACAAGTCTAAAGGTGATGAATTTAGTCGATTGATTTCAAACTATTTATTCAGAAATGATTTACATAAAACTTATTTTATTTGTTCAGCAGGTAAAACATCCTTGTGTATCATTATAAGCATTTTGACACAAGCAAAAATATCAGTTAGGTAGGTACAGGCTAATTTCAGTAGAAATTCTTGGTCTCAAATTTGGTGGAAATTCATAATTTACTGCCTCTAATTCCTAACACTCTGCAAAGAAATAATGTCGAAAATGTAAAAAAACAAATCAATTTCAGTTAAACCCTGCATTATCCGACACGATTATCTACTACTTTACTACCATTTATACTGTATTTACATGTATATTACTTAGACTTGAAAAAAAACGCTAAAGCTCTAAAGTTGAAGAAATCTATTAGAAACTCTTCTATATTGCCAATTTCAGATATTCGTTGACACTTATTTATATTAGGGCGTATCATAGCTAATTGGTTTGTTCTTATCGAATAAGTAAATCTCTAGTTCAGTGGATCAATAAAAAAATGCAGACCTTACGCGATACCCAAGTTATTTGCATTAAAAAATTGCAGCGAATACTTACACCTGCTAATAAAAACTGTTTCCATTAAATTGCTGACGCGTTTGGCTTGTAAATATCGTTTACATGTTTTTCTTTTATGTGCTCCATTTTAGTTAAAAATTTACTTTGTATGTGTGTTAGTTTGTGGAAAGTTATAATAAAATACGTTTTATATAATTTTAGCATTGGCAGTTCCGGTAATAATTCCAGGAAAGTAAATAAAACTTTGCCTTCCTTTGACTAAAAACAGAAAAAGTTGTTAACGCTAAATGGAAAAAAAACTTTCAATAAATAAAGCTGATGGGTATATGATTACTATCGATTAGCTCGATTTATGTTATAAATACCATGTCAATTGTACCTATGTCAAATACTGATATTAATAGAAGCGAGTCTAAATTTTACTAGAGAAAACAAAATTAATTATGGATAAAGTATATTCTGGACTTGGGGCTAGCTATTTACTCCATTTACTATTTTATTCCTGTTTAAACAATAATATTGTTTTATTCGGCTTGCTAATTGTTGTTTTCTGGACCGTTCATGACCTTTGTCATTTTTAAACAGCATTGCTTCTGATTTGAAATGTGTGTTTGTTTTTCAGGAGGAACTATAATCCTACAAAATTGTAGAAAATATAAATTATTTTCTGATAAGTCAGCCAAGACCCCAAAAAGGTCAGCACATTTTTTTAGTAAATAAATAGTCAGTTATAAACACGGTGGAAGATTTCTGAAATTTCGCTTAAGTTAATTTAAAATTCAATGTACGTATTATTTGAAATGTTCATAAAAATTCACATTTTTAGCTCTGAAATGTATTTTGGGGCATTAAAACAATAAGCTAAACTCAATTTTTACCAAGGTTTGATTTATTAAAGCAATCCTGCCTGGCAAAATATTAATATGTTTCTACAGCATCAGCGGCTTAATTTTGAATATTTTATTTGTTGGACAATGTGACCGATCAAATGCGAACGATCAGTCACATACGAATTTAAATGAACTATTTGTTCAGTTCGCTTAACCACAAATATCCTTTCCCATTCATGGTAAGGTGTTCCAGATTTAATTTTTATGCAATATTTGTGCAGTACCTAGTTACATGAGAAACGCGTTATACTTACATGAATATCTTATTTAAAAATTATTGTATATCTTATTTAATAAAATTGCTCTTGAAAACCGGTTTTTGAAAACAGAACATCAGAACTAAACCGACTAATAATGAAAATAACTTTTAGTTGGCAAAAAATAATACAAAAGCAATGAGTACATTTTGAATCAAAAGTTTACTTTCGGTTTATAGAAATGTCTATCTGTAGCACTGTGATAAGCAAAATATATCAGAACCATAAAACCCTGTAAGCCTAAAAACTGGAATGCTCCGAATGCAATTGTAGTGAAACGATTCACGGTGTTACGCCTTCTTACATCTATTAGAATAATATCTTATATAAATTAATTTTGTTTAGGGAGCTGCAAGCTTCATTATGCCTTCACGCGCTTCTTCATTTTCCGACACATAGATAATGAACATTGGAGTTGTTACACAATTTTGAAGTGTTAATTTAAATTTAGTTACAAACTGTTACATCAACCACAGGAGGAGCTCAATTTCCCATTCCTAAAATCTTACCCTAAGATTCTAAAACCATTGAATCAACCTCCATAGATACAAAAAACCTCCAACCATGTAGAATCGAACACAATTTCATACTACTATCAAAACAAACTGCGCTTTAACTACAAAGAAATTTTTAACCCAAATACTTCAAGCTTTTTTCTAATTGATGGAAATCAACCGCCAAAGATCCTCAAGAGATACAAATCAATTAATCCCGAACAGCGACAACTTCGAAAGCTCCTGAGTTCATGCTTTCGAAGCATTAGAAGTTGGCATTGCCATTTTCGGAATCTTGGGATAAATTGAGAAGTAAAATATTTTGACGCGCTGGCTGTACATCAGATAGTATTAAAATCACTGTAAGCTAGTAGAACACAATTTTCAGTAAAAAATCTGCACACTATGGGGATTCCCAAGTGCAGCAAACGAAGCTGCAATAAACTTAACAATCTAATTGCCACACTCATGAAAATCAACCCCTGCTATAAGAGGAAATCGAATATTTTCTTGGCCTATTTTGATGAAATTTTCTTCTGGCAATGTTGTAAATATTTGCATATTTATTATTCTAAGAGTAGATCCTTCTAATCGGAGCAAGTGCGTTGTTGCGCTCCAGAAACAAAGTTTGCCAGTTGGAACCGAGCCTCTAAACTTCTATGCATAACTTTACTTGTTATCATTACCTGGCAAACCAAAATGTATGGATTAAATATGACAAAACTTAATTAAAGTCAGGAATAATTTCTGCTTAAGTAACAAGTTCTTGTTGGTGTTTTATGATGTTAGGTGCGCTCCACGCACAAATCCAGACAACCATTAATTTGCAAAGTATCAACAGATAGTCCAGCATAGAAATATTTTAGTTCGAAACAAATTATTTAATACACTCAGCTGGATAAGAGGTCTTATTTAACACTTTTCAGTCCTCGCTAATTTTTCACTTCAATAAACCCGTGCTCTCTAAAAGGGAGAAAAAATAAAAGACCCGTAATTTAGTCCTAGAAATGCTGCTACCTAGAAAAGCTCCTTTTACGTTTCTTTAAAAGCTGGCGGCAACGTGCAAAAACAACATAAGCATATTATAGTTGGAAGAGGGCTTATGACGTCTTGCTTTCAAACATTCTCTTAAAACCCAATCATGCAGATAGCGACCTGTGAGGGCTTTAGAGCAGTTTAGAGACAAATTAATGCCTTGAAATGGAACTGAATGGAACTGAAAATCTGATAGTAGCAGCATATGGAATGTTTAGACAAATTATTTTTAAATTTGCAGCATTTGAATGAACCCGTTACGACTGGAAAATAAAATAATATGATCTAACAACGTTGATTTATCCTTAATGAAATTTCCTGTTACTTCACATTTATTATACGGCGTTTATCAGATTTGCGGTAACGAATTGAATGTCGAGACTGTTGGCGGGCGGTTTTGAAGATTTATGGACCGAAACTTCAAATAAGAAATTTATATGTTTCAAAGATTCTAATGTGATTTCTATGAAAATGGAAAGCAAACAGTTTCGAGACCTTCTAAAATGTTTAGACTCTGATATCTAAGATTTTGTTAGATGAGGAGGTTCATGACTGAGAAAAGTTACAACTGAACGACTTTTGAAATTTGAAATATTTCAATAAACACTAATAATCTCCGCTAAGGAGAACATCCTTTTGATAATTAAAAAGTATTGTTAGCGTTTATCCAATCTGAATCTAAAACTATTGGTTTTGCTGCTAGTAATCGTTTAGTAGGGCATTCAACCTGCTTGGGTTTTGCCAGTTTGGAACACTCCTCTGAACGCATTTTTACTTCCGGAACACTCTTCTGTACGTCTTAGAAATGTGCAATATTTATTCCAACTATCTTTAAATTGCTTCTTTTTGCTAAATTATGTTTTAAATATTTGTTGGTTGTTTTCAGGCTAACAGTAGAATTAAGCCACACCGAATTCAATCGTGCCATATCGCTTGTGATCCATTGGCTCTGTTACGCCAATAGTGCTGTAAATCCGATCATTTACAATTTCATGAGTGGTAAGTATTTATAGTTTCGTTTATTATATGCTAGCTTATTATATGTAAAAAATATTCTAATTCCGGACTTTACAAGAAATAAAACGCGTATTAATGAAAGAAGCATTCTCTTTTACCATAATTGCACCCATAACCAACATACCAATGACGCAGCATGTTATCAGTTCAATGAAATATTATACATATATTATAAATTTTTAATAAAAATCCAGGAAACTTTTCCTCTGTTTGTTTCATGTTCCACGTGAATTAGTTCCAGAAAAGTATTCCTTTTTGTTATTTACAATGGTCTTTACGTTTATCTGGAAGAGTTTTGCAGCTTTCGAAATGGGGAAAAGTATTTACCGAAAGCCTCAATTGAGGAGGGTCATATTATTATTTTCCGGGCGAATTGGCATTGAAACAACATTTGTCATATCAGTTCAGCAAGGGAGTTCAAATCCGTTTAGGGGGAATAAGCAAACTTAAGAAAAGTGTCTTTTGCACCTAGTCGAAGGTGAAAAAATTTTAGAGCCAGAATTACGGATCTGGAAACAGTTTTTCCACATCATATTTTGTCAGAATAAACGTTGTTTTAGTTTTCTATCAACGTTTCTATAACATTTTTCGGTTTTCGGTTTCGTCTTCAAATTGGAAAAAAATTCGCTAATTAAAAGTTAATATTTTTATTTTCATTGACAATATTTCGAATGTCAGTTAAAAATTGTGCACTTTCCACAGCTTTCCGAAACGAAACCGGTTTAGAGCTTGAAAGACAATTTAGAAAACTTAAAACTTTCCACGCTTCCAGTAATTGTTATCTCTTGATAGCAAACCCCGAGGAACAAACTTTGAAACTAACAATCACAACGAAATGCGACTTTAAATTACACGACCTATAAAAGCTCGAAACGGGAGAGCTAGTACTGTCTTCATATGATCTTAAATACAGTTTTCTGACAATTGAAAATTTTGTTTTAACCTTAAGTAAACTCAGCTAACAATGTAATGAAAATACAAATGAATTCCAGAAGCTTAAGTTAACTTTTTGATATATTTAATATCATTAAAATTGTAATTTTCTAACAGAACTGAGAGTAATTACCATACTTTAAACCCTGCCGAAGTCCATTATAGTATAATAAGCAAAGGAATTATTAACCATTTAGTGGACAGGAAAATATTTTAAATCGTACTTGTATGGTACTAAGTTTAAAACTAGAAGTGATCACAAGATTTATCGGCTATTTTCAATAATAGAATTCAACTTCAAATTACTTCGATGCAAGGTCAAACTGGAAGCATATTATTATGAAATGATAGAAAAAACAGGAAAGCAATTATTAACACAGATGCTCTTTACCGTATGCAAATGCATGGAATAGAAGATGAGGATATTACCTGCAGCAATAATTGTAGGTAAATTGGCAAATGCAAACATATTTCTGACTATTTCTGTCCAGCAAAATAGGAGGAAAAAGTCGCAAATTGGAATAAAGACAAACTACAACCACTACAAGATGACAGAACTGATTTACGGTCCATTAGAGTTTTACGGAAAGAACAATGGAAGCGAGCAGAACCTGGAAAACCGACGTTAAAAATCCAGTTGAAATCCTAATATTTGGGAGCAACAGAAAAAATCGAAAAAAATGATTACTTGGAGTCCAACTCGAGGACTTGAGGGCCATGTCAATGAAACATCTGTACTATTTTAAGAAGGAAAGTCGGTGAAAAAGAAAGCAAAATGAATATTTCATTTTAACTGCATAAATAGTAAGACGCCATGGTTTAAAAAAATCATAGATGGAAAAGCTCTGTACCCATAAATCAACATAACAAGAAACATAACTTATCATTTATTGTGCAGTTATTGTGTAATTAATTTCGGGTTTTATGTTTTCTTTTACTGGGTATCCTGTCTAAGTCCAAGATCTCTAGAAAGCCTTCATTATTGAATTTTTACGTTGGTTGCAATCTCTCATTTCCTAGCAAAGGCTTTTAACATAAAGTAAATGTTATGTTCATTTATTTGAACTGTTTTCTTATGCGTTTTAGGTTTTAAGTTTCACTGATAATTAATTCATTATTTACGACCGCTTTTATGTTAAGTTCATCGAAGTAGTGTTTTCGTAATTTTCTCTAAATGTCAACTTTAGACCCCAAAAATATTCGTATCGAACACCGTTTACACATTTTCTTCTTGCTGCTAAATAATGAAATTAAAGTTTGATTGGAACCTGAAAACTTGGCTGAAACAAAAAGTTGATTAAAAACAAAGTTCTGTCGCTTTGTTAATTGTACTCAACTGGCCTAGTGAAACGGGATCCAAAGTTTTGATTAATTCTTGCCTGCGGTAAAAAATTGTGATTTATCATATTTCACAATTTCAGTAAATTGAGTTCTAAATTTAACCAGATTGATTCATAGACTTTGCTTAGATTAAATTAATGTAAAGTTTCTTCTTTAAAACTCAAGTTTCTAACACATTTTTATTTTGGAAATAAAAACTGTTAAACACCTAAGTGGTGGTTGATAAAATGGTTTCCAAATACTTATCGTTATTCTTAGTTAAGGTAGATATAAAGTGGAAGTAACGTTAACTCGAAAAGTCGAAAAGCGGAAAGTAATTTCTTATTTTACATTTTCTTATTATATAACATCTAATTTCCTTCCAATATTGCCATTATCGTTAAGATCTATTTGCAGATATAGTTATTATTTATAGCTTTCATAGCCAGCCGAGTTAAGGACATTAAAATACAGGATGCTCTCCAAATTTTTGCTCCAGAAACTTCGATTGCTTTGTTCGTTGCACACTTCTATTGTTGATGTTGGACAGGGCGTTTCTAATAATAATTTTGAAGATTCAGAATTATTAGCTCTGGAATCAACCACTCTCAACGGAAATGTCCAAATTTCTTTTTGTCTTCACACATCAGTAGTTTAGTTACTATATTAGTTTCGTCCGTATTGAAAAGCTAATACATTAGGGAAGTTATAAAACATTAACACGTTTTATCTGGATAAGTGGATGCAGTCTGTCCTATGAAAGCCATTTGCTTGCACTTGGTGGGCTAAAGCTGCTGAACAATGCTCAACTCAATCAGCTCGGTTTCGTCCACATCAAGATATCGCGACCTGCATCAAATCTCGCAAACTGACAATTTATTTACGTCGCACTAGGATTTCGTTTAATTGATTGCCAACTAAGCGCACTTGGGGATTAGATTAAAACGGCATTGTTCCGGACTGTCCACAGAGAAAACTGTCCACAGAGAAAAGACTTATTGAGATGGCGCGATTGGTGCCGCCGAATAAAAAATATATCGTTTAAACGCCCCCAGACGTAAAAAACTAATGATGCAATCAATACTGATGTTGGGCTTTTCAGTAGCCTTAAAAGTTACCAAACAATTCCAGCAATTTTTCAAGCATGATTCCTTCTTGCAGGAGATTTTAGATTTTCATTTTTTTTTTCATTTCATTTCCATTTTCAGATTTTCAATTTTATGTAACAGCTGTTTGGTTTATCAATTTCTTATGGAAAATGATGAACATGCAAATCTATAGCGTCAATGTTGAGTTTGGGACCAAATCGCTGTAGCAGTAGCAAAACGTGTAGGGTGCAGGTAAAAACAGGAATACAAAAATTACTAACACATTGACCCCTGACTATAAGATATGGAATACGTCCAATATTCAGGTAGATATCCATTTTCAATTCTTATTTTGCTGACTTAGAATGGCAAATATACGGGATGAAATGGAACTGCTTGTATTTTTTCAATTTGTATGTCTTTGGCACGGTATTTGAAGTGAAATAAAAATACTCCTAAAATATGCTTTCTACGTTTTAATACCATTATTCTGTAAAATTTAGTTTTGAAACTGGCCTCATAAATTGGAAAACTACTTTAAAACGACCAATAAGTGCCGAATTAAAATACGAAATAAAAAAAGTATTTGCATTTTATTGCATATCCCTGAAATGTATAATTGGATTTTGTGGGGAAATGGATGCTTTTCTCAACTTGAAATTAATTGCATATTTATTTATTACACAACCTTCTGCATTGAATATTTTGGTTATTGCATGATTTGCTGCTAGACCAGGAATATTTGGCATATTTTAACGGAAATGAAACACCGTTCGGAAAAAAGTGCTTAATTCCTGCGACGGCTTTTGCTATTTAAAAATATATTTTTATGATAAGATATATCATCCTGGTATTTTTCTATTGCATGCTTTAGAGATAATTTTATAACTATAACTTCGTGATAAATTTGCGAACGGCGGATTTTTAACTCATTACAGACACATTTTACGAATTCTCCTGTGTACGGAATTAAATTAGTTTTGCCGTATAGGAAACAAATGAATTATGATTGTATTTCATAGTGGTTAATTGAGGGTTTGATTCATTGTTCAGCGTTGTTAGTAATTCAATTATTACGTCACAATAGTTGATCGATGCAAACTTAGTATAAATTTTACAGCAACACAATCAATTAAGTATGTGAAAAATTTGTTGCAGGTAAATTTCGACAAGAATTCAAATCAGCATTTTTCCAGTGCCGCCAAGTCAATCGATCCGATCGACATTTAACCAGGAACAGCACTTATATTTACCGATACACGACGAACACCAGGAATAGTTCGAAATCGAAAACCGAGATCATTCCATTGGCTAATGTCAAACAACTCGACGAAAACTAGAAAACTTCTAGATCTATTGACGCTTACAGTTCAAACGAAAATTAAAAATAGAATCATCATTTTCGTATTATTGTGCTGCTGCCGCTGTCCAGTTGTGTAAGAAAAGCTGACTGTATGAAGGTAATTTGTGTGATATGTTCCAGGACTTTGAGAAACGTGTACTTGGATTAATATTGGTGTTGTTGAGTAGATTCACAAACTTGATTTTGCATTTTGGACAATAATTAATACATGGTGGCCTAGCTTCAATATGGAAGATTTAAGCATTAGATAAAATGCACACGTGCAAATAATATTAAAACGTATTAGAAACTCATATCATTTGAAGTGTCTTCTACTAAATAGAATTCGTTTTTCTTGTTCTGTCGCATATTTGGAGAAAGGATGGTGGACGATTTCGCCGCAGACTAATTTTCCACATTAGATTCTTCCATAAAACTAAGCTTTTGTACGGAAAGCGGTCTATAAAAGTTTATGTAACACCAAGTAGGATAGAACGTTTTCCAGTTCTCCCTGAGATAATTTTGAAACAAATAAGCGGAAAACAGGTAAATCTTCCAAGAGAAAACTTTAAAACTTTTGCTTACAACGAGAGTCGCCTTTTGATTATAAGTAATATTGAGCGTTTTTTTATTATATTTTATATAAATTTGAGGAATAAGAAATAATCGACCGATATTCTCTAAAATCTTAAATAACATACATTTTATGTCCCTAAAGTTCGAATACAGCCTAAGGATAGTTTTTTCCTAAAAAAAGGCAAAGCTACTTTACCATCTTAGTAACCCGATCTCAAAATGTTCTCATTTTTCACAGACATTAAGAAAATCACTTAACCGATGTCAAAAAATATTAAATTTAAATTGCGTATCTGATAACTATTTAATAGACCGCAACATGAAAGAGACACATTTTAAATATTATAACAGCTTTTCTAATTATTGCACAAAAAATCCTTACTTTAAAGACTTTGCCATCTTAGAAGTTGTTTGCTTTTCCATTTATAATTTTAATGTAATTGATTTGTTCGACTTTCTTTTAAGTTTTACTGGAAATTCAAATTAGTGAGCAACACTAGATCAGAACAATCAAATATACTTTACATTAAAAAAAAAACAACAAACAGTGCAGTAACGACAAAGACAACTAAAATTCAAAATTCTATAATAACATGGGATTTTATTATTCATTAAAATTCCAATCTGATATTTTTCCATCATCTTGGAAGACAGATTTTTTTCAAAATACCCACTAGTAGTTTCTTACAGAACCAAATTTTAATCAGAACTTCTTCAGAAAGAATCAGAACTAGATCAAGGCGTACAAGCCTCAAAAACAATATTTTACTATTGAGCCCCGTTAAATATTACATTCCTTGATTTAGCACTTAAACCAACATTTAATTTATTAGACCATTTTATTGTTTCTGTTAGTAAGTCAATATGTGAAACCACTGATGTATTGTACATCGGAATGCCATTATTCACCAACATAATATTAGTATAGTTTTAAGTTTGTGCTGTTTTTACTGTTTACTTATTATCTTAGTTTCCAAGAAGATTAGACACATTTTAATTGATGGACCTTGATATTTATTGTCGTGCACCAATGTTTACACATCTTTGTGAATATGCCTTTCCATTATACTGAAATGAATCGAATAAAATCTGCAAAAAATATATTACATGATTTTTCCACCTTTTTAACTGTTGCAGATTTGATTTTTCCGTCCCCATTGTTACAACTAAAACATCGTTATACCAAGAACCGTTAATTACCTTAGAAACTGTATAACAGTAAACACATTAAATAAACGAGAATATTTGAAATTAAGCAGTTTTGTACGGCATTGGAGATTCAAGTTCCAATGTCAAAAGTGAATAGTTCAAAATAAATGGAGAGCCAAGTTTAGAGAGATATTCTAATAAAATTAAGTTAACCTTTCCAATCAAATGTGTCCAAGCGCAATTTCGGAAAATGGTTAAATTTGTCGGACTGCAAAATCTAATTTTGCGCGTCCGATGGCTTTCCAATCAGAAATGCATTAAGAGCGGTATTACTTTCAACTGATAGGCAATTGTCCTTTCCATTAATAAACATGCCAATAAATTCAATGCAGAAAATGTTATTTTTTTATGGTACTTTAAAGGTATTTTGTAAAAAATTAAAAAGCCCATATCAATATAAACTTGCTGATAATTACATGACTACTAACAGTTGCTATTTTACACTCACAATAGAACACTTTTATTCAAATGACGATCTGAAAATTCGAAGCCATTATTACGCCCTCTAAACTGCATTAAAAAAACCTAAATGTATAAAGATTTACATAGATAAGTATAGAAAAGCGTTTATGGAGTTTAAAGTCGTAAAACTGCCTTCACGTTTGCATGTCAGGAATGTGTTAATATGAAACAGTGTTAAAGTGTTGAACGCAATAAAAGCGATTCGTTCGCTTTTGCTATTACCGGCAGAAATTTATTATTTAATGGCAGAAAAAGCTGGAGAACGCTATTTTATGAGAAAAAACTCGGTTGATTAACAGAGCTAGTATGTCAAAGACGAAGAAAATATTTAAAGAGCTATAAGAATGTTGTCGAAACGATCTAACGAAAAACACCTTTTTCTTTATATTCATGACCTTTCTAGCCAGCAACTGTTATTACTTAAATAATGTGGCCATTAAAATGTGCAATCCATTTGAGAACTCATTCATATTTCCCATTTATTATCTTATCTTATCGGATTTTAACATGATCAATGAGCTGTTCATTTTTATTCCGTTTATTTTTAATTTTATAGCAGTTGTTAAGGGATAACCCACGCAATAAAAAGACGTAAAACTTCATTTAGGGTTGCTAATATTGCCTTAATCCAAATCACCGTTTTCCTTAACTTTTGTATTATCTGGAATAGTGATGCATGATGTAAATAAATTAAATTTTCATCCAGTAAAAATAAATTCCGAAATTGAACTAAGTACCTATAAAATGGAATAAGGACAGAATTATGAATAATTGAAAATATTTCGCTTGAAATTTTGCTTAAAATTTCACAATTGTGGATTATTTCATCTCCCTTTACTTCACTTTTTTCACTTTAGTTCTATGAACATTTTTTCATTTATTTTGACTTTAAAAGCTCAGAAAATAATACAGTTATATTGTTTCAATCGCACTTCAATCTAATACTTTTTCTATAAATTCCTTTTGCATATTAGTTCAGTAAATTTATTGAACAGAGAGGGTACAATTCTTTGCAATTAATGGCCTTATTCGGGTGTTTGATAAAATCTATTTGAGCTTCAACTATGAGGTCGCCTTGTTAATGTGTAACTTTAGAAAAGTCATGAGAAAAAGTCTTTTTATTCATGTAGTTAGTACAAGTTAAACTTATTTTGGATGAGCTCTATAATGCAATTTTGTGCTGGTCCAATGTTTTTAAAATACTGATTTTGCGTGTGTAATTAAAATTGAATTTTAATTTGAACCCAGTTAACAGTTCTAAAATTTTAAAATTAACTGTTTAGGAGGTTCTATAGTGGTTAGTCGTTTTTTAGGACCAAAATGTTAACTTCACCTCTCTCTTTTTGTATGTTGTAACGCTTTGTATTATGGTTGTTAGAAGCAAACAAAGTTAATTAGAAGCATTTATTACATTATTTATGTTATTACATTAATTATACATTATTTGTACAATGCAAATGAGTTGATACGCCTACAAAATGAAACCTGAGACAATATAAATCGGTTTACCCAATGCAATGCAATCAGGGCTCCACATACACGTGGTTGTTTGAATAATTCTCTGGCAGACTTATCAACAGCATATGGCAAAAAATTAAAAACAGTTCAATAAGTTAATTAAAATTTCGATGGAGGCTTAGTTACAATGTTTATTTATTAGAGTCCTATTTTATGCCGAAGATAAAATATATTCCAGAATTTCTATTAAGGCATCGAACATTTTATACATTGTCGTCCGTCTTCCATTGGGAAGTTTACTTACATTTACACTAGATGAGACTGATTTTCTTCAAATTTCATTTATTCTTTTCAGAAAATTTTTTTTAAAGTTATAGACATTACAAATATTAGAAAAAAACATTAAGCCTAGTATGATTAAAACATTAAGCCTGAGTATTTTGAAATTTTTTAATTTTTTTCTGATTGTTTTTTTCAGATGCGTTCCAAAGCCAGACGATMAAAACATTTCATATTCACGCTTTTSTTGGATTTTTCATGATATTTTAACATATTTCATATATTTGGTACTTTGACATTGCTTCTAAATTTTCAATTGCATTTTTCATGACTTGCCCRTGTTTTAGGCTCCARAAATGTAGATTTTGAGTGAGTTTTTTGGGGCGTGTTTTCAGAAAGAAGCAGTATTACTGGAGTTAGTTYCMGCATTTATTACGACATCCTTTCACATCCGTTTTATAAATATAAAAACACTTTCGACATAAAGTTTATTCTGCATAACATACACTTTTCGTAATCACAGATATACATTTTAGCCTWYCGAAATTACGAAAACTASCGTAGTAAATTTAAACTTCGCAAGTTAAACTTTTCGGGTAAATGCGAAAGTTGGTGACAATRCTGAACCAAAATAAATGGAAGAATCAGAAAACGTTGCTGATCGATTTTCGTTTTCAGTTACGTGTTGATCTTAGCAGCATAAAGTAGAGAGGGCGYTGGGATTTGGAAGAATCAGACACCCTTTATTGACTAATTTTCAGCCCATACACTCTACGGTTTGGCTAGAGTTAGTTAGAGAGGGAGTGGGAGTTAGAGTTAAGTCAGTGGGGCTCCATGTAATAGAGATACAGTTAGGACTCGCTTAAATGGAATTACAAAAGAGATGCATTAGAATGTCGTAGTAATTTTAGTCAAATACATAAAAAAAATTTCTATTGTCTTCTCACAAAACGAGTTATGATTCCTCCACTTCAATCGCTATGGTTTTGTGAACGTGAAGAAGTATTAGTAGAGTTAAGAGCTCTTCTGTCATTAAAGCTCTAAAATAATTCGGCACAAAGGTGATCCCAGAACTCGTGCAAAAATAAAGCGATTGATTCCACCGTTCTTAATGAGGCGTGCATATTCAATGTGGATCTTCTCTTTAGATCACTTTTGCACGACATATTTAGCTGTTTCAGAAAATTTTACCTTATGATTTTTTATAAAAATTGAGCCATGTGCTAAATCGGGAGCTCGTGTGAAAAGCAAGATTCTCTATCTGACTATGGCTCTACACAACATATTCAGCTGAAAAGACTCAAAGTTTCATAAAAATAGGTCGTTAGTGAACAAATACGTCGGTAGTCCTTTGTTCATAGACGGCCTATACAGGATGATTTGAGGCCAATAAAGCAAGTGCGCTGATTATCCGTTTTCTGCTTACTGCTGCATCAAGGTTTTTAAATCGGAGTTCATTTGCGTTGCGTGTCCAAATGTAGTGTGAGTTTTTAAGCATTAAGGGCTACAAAACAGAGGATGGGGCGCCAGCTTGCAGAAAGCTGGTAAGAATGAATCCTACTACTATCTGCTCGTATAAATCCTTTCGCTTAAAAATAATTTCGTTTTTCAAGAAGCAGCTGAAGTTGATGGCATTTTGATATTTATCTTTATTTTCTCTGTTCATTTCGAATAGTTAAACGTTCTACAAAGTTTTGGTTATACTAAAGAATGCCTTTCATTCACTCCAGGTGGCACGACGCAGCTTTCGGTAAGTTTGGTATTACTTTGCTCCTGGTTGCCAGGTTCATAGACGTAGAGCTTTCAGTCCCATATTATTGAATTGTATTTTATCATATTGCTGCATACCATATTTATTTGACAAGAAACGACGAGTGTCATGGATTCTGGATTGAGTTTTAGATATTTCGAATTTTTCGTGTTTCCCACAAAGAACAACCAGCACTTCAGAATCTTTGAAAGATTAACGGTGAAGGAAACGGTGAACTTTGGCCCTGAAAGAACTTTTTACGCTAAGTCTATGTAATGTGTAAGAGTTTTGGAATTTCCGAAAAAAAAATGATAACTGACTTAGTTACAGGGTAAAGAGTGGAAGGATGTGCAAGTGTGAGAGTTTTTATATATTCATTCATTTTATATATTCAATATTCAGGGTCCATTTCCCTCCAAACTGTTGTAAATACAAATTACAGATTTTCTTATAGACAGTGAATATGTTGAGAACAGACTTTGCCAACCATCTGAGTTCTATTCTCTCTATCTTGTTCTATTTTTAAAATGAGCTAATTGAGGTAAAAATTCAGTGGCTTTCAACTCATCATAACTTGCAAGTTTTTAATCGATTGTAATTTTCCGAAATGCAGTTTTTATAGAAAATCGTCCCTTTTCCAGCAAATGTCAGCATTTGCAAATCAGCCCGATGTTAGTAGTTATGCAGAAAATGTCTAAAAACAAGAAGCTACCTTCTCAAAAAAATTGGAAAATTGAAGTCACATAGAAAACGTTGATAGGTAACATTAGGTTTTTACGCCAAATCACTCGATTTAGAACGAATTTTTTAATGATCTAAATCGGTCCCGTATTAACAGTTATTTATTTATTCGTATGAATCCTTCAGTAGTGAAGGATCTGATGATATAATTATAATAATAGCATTATATTCATGATATGCGTACATCATACAAAATATTTATTTTCTTAAATTGTCTATTAGAAAAGTTATCATTAACCCATTTCATTATCCCGGATGAGCAGAAGCCCTTGTGGTCAACCCTAATGTGACAAAACCTCCCGCAAATGTGTGATCATTTTTTCATTTCTATTTCCACATCATTTCAGCTTCAAATTTTGAGACACATCTTTTATTAAAATTGCAGATCAATTAGAGCTGCATTTGACGATGGACAAATTTTACAAAGGGTATCCTACCAAGTTTATTCTAAGTATTCTTTAAATTTATTACATCTTATATTGTTCTGACTCATTTTTCTTCAGTAATTTAAAGTAGTTTTTAATCAATTTACCACTTTTAATGCATTCTACGTTTTAAAACGATGTCCCAACATTTATAATTGCTTTCCTATTTATTTTTGAGCTGTTTTCTATGAAAAGGTGTTTTCTATAAAAATTTGAATTTGAATTTGAAAAAACAATTTTCTTTTGTTCTTTGGAACGATTAATTTATATTGCCAAATTATTTAATTTGAATTAACTTTACAGTTTCTTTTATTTGTTCGTTAGTTAATCGAAGACGAGTTTGCGATTATTTTTTATCGTGAGAAATATTTGACTCATGTGTGGGAATTTGAGTTCTACTACTATCTACAAATAACACTACAACATAGTTTAAGTAGGTAATTGTACATTTATATTTAAAATTTTTGACATATTTTGAGAGTTTTAATAAAACAACAGTGATACATTTTTACATAAATTAGATACAAAAAAATACTTGGGTATGTAAACACTTTCGAGGATAATATTTACAAGGCATAAAATACTTTTACATTTACAATTATTTACAGATCAGTTTATTCACAAAATTGAAAACCCTTACGACGAATTTGTATAGGTATCTCATTTTTATCAGTTGCCTGTGCGTTTTCTTCAATTATTTAATTGGATTTGATTTTATTTAGTAAATTGCAGCAAATTTTTAAATCGCCCGAACTATATACGCGTATATACATGTACTTATATTCGCTAATGGTAACTGTAAAGATGAACTACTTATAGGTAAAAACAAGATGCTGCGTGATTTTGAACAAATTATATGTCATACGGTCTTCTGATTTATTATTACAATATACCGAATTTTTTATTAATTAATGATTTTTTTTTAAATTATCACATTTACTTTAATTATAAACTAGCTAATTATAAATTTTATTTACAGTATCAATTTACAAACCTTTAATATACTATATGAAGTTTCTAATGAATAATCAACTGCCACTTGCTTTTCTTATTCTCCAACATGCACAAATTGCTCTAATTAAATTGTTTAGTTAACAATTAATTTGGTTTATCTACAAATTCAGATTAACGTACATAAAATCGCATACTTGAATCGCGCGTTGATAACGAATATTTCATAACAAAGCGTGGAAATATTTTACGAAAACGTATTGGTAAAGTTTAACAAATTAAACTAATTCAATTAGCTTGAGAAACGCGATTTGTCGAAAGACATGAAAATCGGGTGATATTAAAAATATTTTAATTTTGCTAAGAAAATCTCTCGCACACCGATATGTTAAAATCTTAGAAAAATTTACCATGTGAAAATAGCACAGACATTATGAGCGACCCATTTGGAATTCTCCTAAAACTAAAAAAATTATTACGATTTTTAAAGGACAGTCTCAATTTTGTCTAATCTATCAAATAATGTCAATAAGTCAATTGTCGAGATTTTAGTTTAATGTTGTATGTTTATTTTGTATAACTTTCTTCAGTCCTTAAAAGGTGGTTATATTTTTATTAAATAGATAGACCCTGTTATATCTTAAATATTTTCCCTCTGGAACTATGACATTTACGATGATGATAATTTACCTCGTTTGTAGACAAACTTTAAAATTAAAAGAATGTGAACAAGCAAAAATATATTTTTTCTGAATCCCTACAGCGGATAAGTGGATAAAGTACTAGTGGTGAAACATTATTGTTACACAATGATTGATTTGGATGATAATTTAGGATTGGCTTAGGTTTTTTGTTTCAGAGTCTAGTTAAAAAGAATTTCGAGTTTTTTAACTTAGAACTATCATGCTTTTACGGGCGATCTTACATTAATACATTATTGGACTAGTTTTCATCAAAGGTTTTACAAATTATGACTTAATTTGCAAGGCCTTTAAAAATCCCAATGAAATTATTTCGTGACTGTGTTATTTATCCATTATAAAGATAGAAATGTGTATTGTTTTACAGTCGAAATAGTAAATTGGGCTTTTATTGAGTTCGTCTTATAATATTCCTCCATAAAATTAACAAGTCTTTCGAAATAGGTAATTAATAGCTAAAATCGCGTAACAGTGGATCAATAAAACAATATAATCAGCATTAATTTCGAGTGGAAAGACTTGTCCTAAGCAGTTCTGGGAAACGATGATTTACTGTTAGAAATAGATAATTCCTGTATTAGAAGGAAACAGGTCAGATGTAAATAAGTCGATCTGGAACTCGCAGCTTCCGTTAACAGCGTCAAAATCTATTTGCCTGTCTTCGATTGTAATCTATTTTGTATATGTATAGTTTTGCATGAATCAGTCATGAATTAGTTGTAGTCAGCGGAAGGTAATTGCCGCCGACAGTTTATCCAAAAATCCTATTTGTTTTTCGATTATTAACACAGTCAAATTTAGTCCTATATGATTTCGCTCAATTTATTTATTAGCAAGTTTGCCTACCAGACTGCATAAAATTGATTGAATACTATGTAGAGTCTGGATGCGGCATGGTTTTACCAATTTATTCATCAACCCAAAGTAGATCGATTCAAACAAATTAAGTTACTTCCAGCGTTCCTTTTCTTCAAAATTGTGCGTTGTTGTCGAATAAAACTCGTTTGTTGCGTTTTTGAAAATGTTCAATAGCTATGGAACACGCAACAAATTTAAAACAGTTTTACTCGCCGCATGCTTTATATTGAAACGTTTTTGCCTTATAGAGAATATTTGTTCCGAAAAAAAAATTGTATTTATGCGGATAATAAGATTACTACCAAAATCAATGAAACGTCATTCGAAATGGAGGATATTTTAATCAATTTTAGTAAAGTCCTTTTGCCCAATATTTATTATTAGAAATATTTTTCATGAGACAACAACGCTTCTAAATAATCAGTAGTGAAGTAAAGGCATTTTTCCTGTTAGCATTTCTCAACAATATTGTCAATCTTTCAGACAAATGAAAAAAAAAACAGTTTTTTATTGCATTGCGCTTTACATGAATACAATGAAGGTACGTCGATTTGAATAAATTGGGTTAAATTGATTTACTTTTGGGTAAAAATTCCAGCCTTCCTTTCGATATATTTTGAAAGCTATAAAAACAATAACGCAAATATATTAATAACCATACTTACTTACTAAGAACGAAAATCAGGTCTTTAACACATGCCTTAGTATAAAATCTAGCTAAATCAGATGAAAGTCTTAGATAAGTGTCGTAAAAGTAGCGAAGAGCGAGTTGGTTGCATTATGTCTGTCACTTTTAATACTGATATAAAATGATACAAAATTGCGAGAAGTCACTAGATTTCGTATGTCACTTTTATAAAGTTTTCTTAGTTTCTCAGCTACACTAAATCAGCATCCCACTCTGTTTATAATTCAGTCATTTGTCAAACGGTACTTTCGCGTTTGTTCGCCATAAGTGGAGTTTCTGGAGATGTTTCTTCTTCAGGCGCTGCCGGTAAAGGCTGAAGGGGTATAGGTGGGTCTCTGTAATAATTTAATGAAGTTGACTTGTTTGTATTTACATTTTTTATTTATCGTATTAATACACATCAAACAAGCATATTTAATTGAAAACTATAAATCTAAATTCGCGTTTAAGCAATTTCAAGCAAAGCAACCAAAGAAGCTTGATTATATGTGCTGAGCAAGTGCAGAAGTACTTCGAAGTGAAAAAGTGCGATTTCAATAAACAGTGCAGGTAATACAAAAAAATGTTGGAAGTGAAATAACAGCTTTGTGGTCCTGTTATCGTCATCATGGATATGATTGTATACCCTGTAAGGTGGATTTATTCGGAATTTTTGCGACATATAAACTTGTAATCTGTTACGGATGCTTCTGCGCAAAATGGTTAATTACTCAACTATAAAAGCACGTTTACCTTCCAAAAACAATTTGTCTTACCTTGTTTGAGTAGATCTCAGTCTTTGTTGGGCTACTGGTACGCCTCGGTACTGAACAGGGTACATACCCGGTGGCAAATGACTTATAGGGCCGTACTGCCACTGTTGTGGAGGCTGTCGAGGCAAAGTACACGACGCTGTGTATGCTGGAATCATTTGTGCTGGTCCAGGGATCTAAAAGTTTTTTACTTTATTTCTACTATTCATTTATTTTCATTCAAATACATTTTTCCAGTTCCACTATTCCATATCCCCGATTTTCCAACTAGCTGAATTACAAGTCTCATGAAAGGAACTTATATTTTTGCGATCCCATCGAGGAATACTACATTCCCAGGAAACAAGAGTACCTACATGCAGGTACTTCAGGCTCTAAGCAAAATCTTTTAGATAAGTTCTATATTATTGAGGCGGATTACTTTTTTTACAAATTTGGATATTTCGCCTCAAAAATTTTTGTGTTTAAAAAGACAAAATTTCCTCACGTCTTTTATTACAGATTGATAAATAGTGCTCTTATTATTGTTTATTATTATTATTTCTTATTATTATTTATTTACTATTACTATTTCTTATTGCAAAGTAAGAGAATTAGTTATCAATCTGTAATAAAAGACGTAAGGAAATTCTGGCTTTTTTAAAGACAAACACTTTTGAGGCAAAATACTCAACAAGCAGTTTAAAAAAAGATTTTTTTAACATAGTTTAGTACATATTTTGTTCATAAGAGAACAGAAATAAAATGTTTCTTATGTGGGAGGTCGATTGAAACATTCATTCGCATTAAATATCCCAGTTCAATGTTGGATAACTTTTTGAAGCCAATTATTTGCGATTTGGAGATATTTAAGCCAAATCAATTTTTCTATTGAGAAACTTTGTAGGTGTCTTGTATGACTTAGAGTGTAAAACAGTATAAACCATTTTGTTTTTCTGTATTTTGGTCTTTCAGAACCATCTACTAGTTCTTTCGTGGCGAAGTAATTTATTGATTACATTAACTGCACACGTTGCAATTGTTACTTCTCTCTCCACAATGCTTTCATTTAATACGGATTGAGCTAACAATGAAATTATTGGAGCAACAAGAGCACACACGTGTGAAACTAGAAACATTTTCAACTCATCTTTACTTTGTCGCATTCAGGGTATATTGTAGGTGGTTTCTAATCAATAAATAACACTTTCTTTTAAGTAAACTAAGTTTGAATTGTATTTTAAAAGAAACTCGTGGATTACACCAATATTATTCAAATCGCGGTTTGAATGTCATCGAGCATTGAACAGCGAAACGAATATTGGCCTAACGTTAAGGTAAAATTGAATTTTATCTAGCTCATGTTCAGTAGCTAGTTTGCTCTACATCCGAACAGATTTGACTATAAAGCTGATTTCCTAGTTCGCTAAATTTGGGGCACGTCTTTGGAACTTATCAATCAAAATCGAAATAATGCAAGATAAATATATCCAGCGAATAATTTTTCTGTGATAGAAACGAATTTCCTGGAAGATATGTGTTCGCCGATAGAGATCTTTGGAAACTGAACTAAATAGAGCATAGACTGACCGATTGGAAAGTTTCCTCGAGAAAGTTTAGTCGATTCACAGAAGTTTTCAAGGAAACCTTCTAATAAAACAATATAACATCTATAGTGCAGGTCTGCTGCTAACTCCTGTTATATCAGTTTTGCTTTTCTTTGGAAATCAACAAAGCAAGCAATGGTAAAATACATACAAACCCCCTTTATTTGATAGCTTGCAAGGCCGGGGGATTACGGATGAAATACGGTAAAAATGCGCAAAAAACGGATGAATTCGGGCGTTCAAATATTCCAGCATAGATGTTTTGTTTGGTTAAAATTGTAGGTTTTATCCGTACAGTTTCAAGCACATAAGCAATTTAGCTTTTCGATATTGGGTTAAACTGTGACTTACCAGTTTTGATTGTGCATTTAGCTCGTGCAATGGCATCCCATTGCGTAACGTACAATATCCCATATATCCAGAGTTTCCAGCTTGACGCAGTAGGCTTCTGCTGGGAGATGTTTCAATAGTGGAAACGTGTTGCTTTTTTCTGGAATAATCCGAACAATCGTCTATATCTACTGGTTGAGGGATAATATCAGGGTTCTTCTCATCACTATCCCCTTCACCGCCACTTGATTCATGTTTAGATATGGGGCTTCCACCTGATATTTCGCATGAAAAAAAATTGTGTTAATAGTTGCTGTAGCAAATATTATTTTATTTAATATTACTCTATAAAGTAATTGCAATTTTCAGTTGGAAAACGCACTTATTAAGACTTCAGTTCGTTGAATACATTAAAGTGTAATTTAGTGAAGTGGACAACTTCAGTTTGCACTGAAATGGCAGGTTATTGTGTAAACTTAGATACGTCCAAGTGAAGTTGTAAATCTGCAACTACTGCAAGCATTGCCAGCCGCAATCCAGCTGGTCCCTCAAGTGGTATTTTCTTTATACGGACCAGTTATTATCGACAAGAGGTCCCACTTAGTGTGCCCGGCGAAATTACCCTTACTACAAACTAATTGTTTCGCCGGTATTGTTGCACACACCAAACTTTAAAGTTTATCCCTCGACTCTGTGCCATACTTGTTGCAGGGTATGCATGCATATTCAAGGTAAAGTTTCATATTTGAGAACGCTCGTCTCCCATTTTCTGTACATGCATATGCCGGCAGTTTGACTAATCTTCACAATATTTTTCGAGTTTCGTATTTTACGGCTGTTCGATGATTCGAAAATTAATTGCTTGGATAATTCTGTAATCTTTTTGTGTCACTAACCAACTTTGAAAAGATTGATGAATTTAAGTAAACCTAAGCGTCTTTGGAAGACAAATATAAGTAGTTTTATTTACAGCGTGTAATGCATTACAAGTTTTAATAAAATTGCTTGATAGGACATTTTGTAACAATAATAAGTTTCCGTGGTTTAGAAGCGAAAATATGTCCAGATCAAAACAAATATTGCTTTCCTCCTTGCAAGAATACTCTTTTTGCCAATATCCGTTTTCTAGCCAACTAATACCTGCCTGATACTATTCTTATGAGTTTTTGCTCATTTGTTACTCATTATTGAATTAAGAAATCAAACACCGTCTAGCATTTATTAAGTTTAAAAGTATGTACATGCTTATTATTTAATTTTGCTCCTGTGGCGTGTCAGTCGTCGCTTCGCCGCTAACCAAATAAATTTTGATTTTAAATCTTGAAATTTTGAAATTAAATCGAACTGCGGTTTCTGTTCAAAATTTAACTACCTAATTCCCAATCTGATAAAGATGCGATGTGATTAGAGTGTATTAGCTAGGATTTTGCACTTTTGCAATCACCTGCATTTTGCAAATTGCACTTTCCGACGATTCTATTCAAACCGACTAAAGCCACTGGATTTTTATACAAAGAAGCTAAGGCTTACAAAAAGCGAATAAATTGATCTGGATATAAAGCATGTGAATGCATCTAAGGTTAAAATTATACTAAATCATCTAAGCTTCGTAATAATGGTACCAAATGCATATCTTAAAGGGGAGCGTTTTTTAAAGGTGAAAATAAGTTAATTTCAGAATTACGCTTTTTTTAGCCGAAAACACGAAACCAAAATAATCGTTCTCGCTCAGCCTTAAAACTTTTATTCCATAGATTCTTACTTTGCAACACTAATTTTCTCAGATCAGAAGATTAATTAACGCAAAAATCAGTGAAATAAAATGACCTACAGTTCTTCTTTTTCGACGCTTTAAATTAAAAATTCCTTAATAAAACTAATTTTATTATTATTGTCTTTTGGTCGCTATGAATATTTTATTTTACTATTATTGTGTGATTGAGTGATTTATTTTTTCAGTCGTTTCTTATACTTCCTTCCTTCCTTCCAAATTTACTTAACCAAACTGACCTTTTCAAAGATGTGTTTCAAATACTAATGTTGACTAATCAAATTTCACAGCAAAGCTGTGGGATGCAAAATAATTTATAGCTTAGAGGTATTATTGCATGAAAGTACATTTAATGAAACTATAGGAACATCAATTAAAAAATTTGGAATGATCTAGAAAAATTATTAGAGAAACATAATTATTTAATGTAGGGCACTTTGTCAAATTTAATAAAGAAAATACTTGTGGGAATCCCATATTCTTCCACATCTCTCTGCTTTAAAAATCTTGCGTTTTCAACATTGGAATGTCAAGTATCTAAGATAAGACAGGGACATACTTTTAAAGCCCTCTAAAAACTGACTGAAATCTTGAAATAAAAAAAATAATCTGTGAGATTTGAAAAATTAAATTGCGATTATCCAAAAAAGTGTTGTGGATTGAAATTAAAACAAACTGCACCGTACCGTTTTTTGCTTACAACGAGACAAGCTGTTCGAAAAGCTGTGAGAATTGACTGGATTCCTCCATTGATAAAAACACAATATATTTTATCTTTCTAATATCGTTTATAACCTTGCAGTAAACACGATGAAACGTGGTGCGAAAGAAAACGTTAGAAAGCCTCAATGTAGCAAACGTTGTATGGATTTTGCAAAATCAGCAAAAAATCACGCTTTACTCATTAAATAAGTGAAAAATACCCATCCCAACTCTAAGGACAACACTTTCATGTTTCTGCTGTTTCATATAAGTATCCCTGCTCTTTTTTCACTTTCATCTACCGTCAGCATGTAATTTCTTCTCACTGACGCAATTAAATAATGCCAAATTTAGCATTCAGCATCACATTTACAATATATTTAAAAGTAACTTGAAATGGTCCTTGTACAAGCCAAGAAGCAGACAGCAACGAAAGTAAATAGCTCGAACAAACAATTTTGGTTCGTGCAACAAATAGTATGCGGGAGCTTTAGAGGTGAGAGAACTGCGGAAAATCGGCCTTGATTAATAAGTTTTCTGGGCCTCGAAACTTACGGTGGTGTAATTTATCTAAATTATCTAGGGGCGCAGCTGGTCTTTTCAATTAAAAGATGCTTATGGGGCAATGTTGAAAGTGTTATAAGAACTTCACGTAAGAAAATCTGCTTTATTTACCGCTTCAAAAAGTATTTCCAAGAGTAAATATTAATAATTATTTGCAGTGAACTGTAGGTAAAATTTTTCTGGGTCTAACTACCCGATATAACTAAAATAACGATATAAAATAGCATACTTTTTTAAATTTTACTAAACTTATTTTAAAAAATGAGCAATAACAAAATTGTCGAGTTTATTGCTGTAGAAGCATAATCGTTATCACTTAAATTAATTTTATTATTATTTTTAAATAAATTTAGTTCAACGAAATGCAGAACATTATAATGTATTTAAATGTAAATTTAGCTCTTCTGTAGCTTAATGGCGAAAAATTGCTTGCTATGCAGAGAATAGAAAAACTAGGAGCTGTCGAGCAAAATGAAAACCTATTGAAAGTAATCCTCATCTATGTATGCAGGTGAATGCTAATCTAACACAAGCTCAGAAATTAAACACGATGGAAATCGACAGATATTTTCAAAACCAAATTAAACCAAACTCAAAATTTACATACTTCTTAAGGTACTTTGGGAGCAAACTACAGCATGAAGAAGGTCGTTATGTTAATAAGCTTGCGGAATTATTCGATTCCGACATTGAGTATTTGGCATGGGGCCCCATTTCTGATCATTTCTCTCAACTAAAACCCCGATAACGTACCATATCTTGCGGCTCCAGTGATAGCGAATCTACTTAGCTTTGTCGAGTGCTGTTTTAATGCTATCTTACTTGTACGGTAATTTCATGTGGCGAAAGAACTGCTGAGAATGGAATGAGGATAGAAATGAGATGAAAAGAACGAAAGGCTTTGGTATAATCAACACATTTTCATTAACTTTAACATGCTTAGATAAGTTCTATGTCGAGAGCCATTCAGCTTGTTCGAGAAAAGCCTTCCAGGTACTATACATTTTTTTAACTTTGACTTGTTTGCGTGCGAAGTTGTTGAAACATTCACAAAATTGTCGCAACAGCTGAAGCTAGGAAGTTGCGTATTAGTGGTCAACATTTGTTTAGGTAAATTAATTGAAATTCTTATTAAAAATCAATCTTTAATTTGGTTCATTATCGGATAACAAAATGCACAAACATGACCGAGATATTTAGATTCTCAAATCAACCCTGCCTTTTCTTGAAAAATACTCCACTGCATCAAAGAAAACACGCCAAAAAGAATTCCTAACTTCGGCGACTACATACATATTTTAGCAGCGTCCCATAAATAATTAAACCAGCTGCTAAAATATTGATCCTACCGAATAAACAATATTGAGAAAAATATTTTGCAAATGTGTTTAGGTGTGGAACGTAAATCCCCAAATGAACGCTTCTTAAGACGCCGATCGCACTTTTGGAATCAATAATAACTTTTATTTGCAAAGCCTGATTGAAGCAAAAAGAAACTTGATACTTCTTAGCACCCAATATTACTTTTATTATATATAATAAATATCCTTTATTATAAGTTATTGTTTATGTAGAAGTTTTGTAATATTTCTCTGGCTAATAGTTTATATAACAAAGGATAGATTCAAATATAGTGACAAACAAAGACAAATCTTAGCTATACATATAAATTTTTGCTTTGAATGTGCCTACTCATTCCTTTGAACATTGACTGCGCACAGAATGATGCAAATATGACCCAAGTAAAGTCTCGTTAAAAAAAATAACTATGACCCTAAAAACAGGTTTAGATGAAACTAGATCCTGTTTCGCTTACCTCCTTTATCGCTAAGGGTGGCCCCGCTGCCGCTTCCTCGATGCTCCAAGCTGCCTCCAGTTACCACCGCATTTTTATGCCTTTGCTGTTGTTTCCTGCGATGTTCGCCCTCCTGGGTGCACTGCAGTCTAAGGACCAAAATTACAACTAAAAGGACTATGAGGAGAGCTGAAACAACGCCGATTATGACACTCATTAACGGGGTGAACCGGAATGGGGACCGCTGTGAGTCTGGAACAGAAAGCAAATTATTAAAACATATTTCACATAAGTGGAATTGCGAAATTGTTCGAACCGCTGCGGATTTCGTATTCATGAAAACATTAAAGGATGTAACTGCTTGAATAGAATATTCAGAATTTGTACAGGTTATTTCGTTTTTTCCAATACTCTACAATTTAAGTACGTGGATGATTAGCTTATAGAGTTAACTGGCAGTTGGCAGTCAAACTATTTCGTGCAGAAATATCTTCGAATCTTTTGGAAAGCAATTCTTAGCGTTTTGTCTAAAATCCGGCAGTTTCAACTTTCTTTCATTAATTATTGCTTTTATGGCAGTTTCAAGCGGGTTGTATTCCTTAACACTATGTAACAAAGTTGGTACGATTCAGATTTTGATTGCTTGAAACGATGAGTGAAAGTGAAAGGAAATGTTCGTAAAAACACAATGAAGTCTCTTTCCAAAACTACCATTAATAGGTGTTTTTTGCATTAGTTTTTCCGGCCATCTATCAATTGCTTCACATTCTATGCCTTAATTCGAATTCCACATGGTTGCAGTAAAAGTACTTAAAGGTGAACTTGAATTGAATGAATAATCGATTTTACACTCACAATATTTAATTATGAGCATGAATGGGTTCCGAATGAGAAAAATAAATCAGTGGATAATGAATGTGGCGAAACGTATGCGAAATTGGAACGGAACGTTGAGTGTCAGTTTTTAATGCTTTGTCAGCAAACAACTAAAATTGTTCCCTATACGGGGCAGCGACGGACGACCTTAAAAATGTTTACGCCAGCCTTAATAAAACACCGCTTCCATACTTTAGCCAGAGTCCAATTTTTTCTTTTATGTCGTCATAAATCTTAATAATTATTTTATAGGTTGCTGCATTTGGTTGAAAGTGACCCGCAAAAAACCCTAAATCTTTTATGTCAAGCCTTCGCTTTTTGCTGAGAAATAGATTTTTTCCAACATGCAAATAGCCACGTATCCTGCAAATGCTAATTTTGTAAAGCTTTGTTTTAAAAGTCATTTTGTATTATTTGTAATGAATCAAATAATATTTTCCGCATGGCTAAATGTTTTATCCGGAAGTAACCGGGATAACTTTTATGGTGTGTTGTGTAAAGGATTTGCGAAGGATTCAAACGATTTTGACGGACTTTAAAAATTTCCGGCTTGAAGAAGGATTTTCGGGGATTTCCTTCGATCTTGTAACTTGGATTTTCTCCTATTTAAGTCTCATTCCACTGCCGGGCTAATGCTTTCATTTAAGGAAAATTTACATTTATCCCGTACTAATCAAAGTTGATGGTGTCTGTTTAGCGAAAAGTCCGTGAAAAAAGTGAGTTATTCTCTTGTGCGGTTTGTTTCGCTTTTTCAAATTTTCTTTGTTGACACACTGATGAGGGCAAGTATAACTGGGAATCACATTGAACAGTTTTCGTCAAAAATCATGAATATTTTCAATCAGCTGACATGATCCTAAATGTATGCACTTACATATTTTCTATCTCGAAAATTAATTTTCTTCTGCTATAATATAAATTTCTTAAACAATTTTTCAGCTGTTTTTCTGAAAAAGGAAGTTATAAGTCAAAGTTCATAACGAAAATACAGACCGATTTATAACTCACTTGTAATAATAGACGATTTTTAGGTAGTTTTTGAGAATGACTGCAGATTTGCTATCGTAACGTTTCTTTTAACTTTTCTAAACTAACTTCTTTATCAATCGGAATTTTTTCTTCTCTTAACTAAGTTGTAGCTTTTGATTACCTTTGGATAAATAATCACTCTTTATCAATCTGTAATAGAAGACCTGAGAAAATGTTATGATTTTAAAAGACAAACATTTTGAGGGGAAATACACAACGAAAAACTGTTGAAAACATGAATCCGCCCGAACCAGATAGAACTTATCATATTAATACTCATCCTTAGGTAGTTGTAATAAAAGCACACCACCATTTTTCCATAATGCATTTAAAACTAATTTGTGCTTCGTTTTTAAATTAAATTTTTTAAGCAGCCTGTAATTAAGGACGTGCCATTTTATGGGATAGATGCCTGAAGCGTTACATTCCACTTATGGAAATTTCAAATCCTTCCAAAGCTGGCTGTTTATGTTTAAAAATATTTTATTTAAGCATATCCGCTTTTAGTGCCCATTTTAAATTCACCAAGCGTAGACTGGAATTTGTCCAGTGGATAGCGTCTATGTTTTAAAATGTAACACTGTGAGCAGCGTTGGCCTTTTTCCATTATTCATCAGCCGCGTTTTTATGTATTGAGATACGAATATGTTTATTGGCTATTGCCATATTTTTCCGCCTAATATTGGACCTATAGGAAAAGGCATGTTATTTCTTTTGAAGAAAATATTTTTCAGCATCTCTTTAGGTGTTTTTCTACCAATCTATCCCTCGGTTTTTGGGTCATTCATACAATTTTCTTTTTTATATTCGTCGATATTGATCCAAACATGTTCAGTAATGTGTTGATCCAAACAATCCAAATTATTGTAGTAGTAGCTGATTTAGGTACTTAATTGCATTCTCTTCGTCAAATATTTGATGAAACGCCGATTAATTTACTAATGAACTACCAAAACTCGACCACAAATTATTTCGCAATTATTAAATGTCTACATTAAAAAGCCGAAATGCCGCAAAGTCTCTGCGAAATTCCAAAAGCGTGTTTTACAATTTGTCTACTAGACAAAGCAGATATTTCAAAACACAGCTGCGATGAGCAATCTTCCACTTAATGCATTATGCAGCAACTGCTGCTTTATTCTCTTTATAGTTGTCCCGTGACGACAACAAATTATTTTAATTTATTTGAAACTTTTTGCAACTTCAACTCTAAAAATAATATAAATTATTTTTTATATCAGCACTAGCAGATCGAATTCGAATAAGTTATTCATGCTTCAATGTGAAAGTGAGCTTTCAAGCGTTACAGTTTTGGGGACTTTTCGTGCCTAATTTACTCACTGACTATTTTAATTCTGAAAACTACTGGAATACTTTGACTTACCTCTTTCTGCAGTTAGTTGCTTCTCGGGAAGTCTTAAGGTGGATGCTTGCAAAATAACAGGTTCGCTCCTTCCTTTTGAATTGTACGCAAAAACTACCGCATGATATTGGATACCGGGTTCCAAATTGTTAACAACAAATCGAGCTAGTGGAGATGTTGAGTTGCTTTTCATGTCCTGTGATTGACTCTCCCTGATCTGGAAAGTTTCGTACATTTGTGGTTTTGTACATTCGATAATTATTAAATTTATTTAGTGTTTTGTTTAGTATTCAGCTTGTAACAAATTGTGTTCGAAACTTACTAAGCCAAATGAGTTCTTGCACAAGAGAGCTTAAGAATTAACAAAACAATTAACAATTTAATAAAAACCGATAATTGATAGTTTTAAATTACAGCACTTTTTAAAATTTCCATTTTTGTTTCACTCTTAACTTGTTTAAAATTGTAAATATTGTTACTTATATCAGCAATAAGCTTATTTAAAATCACGCCAACACTATATGCCTTTGATTGTAAGTTAAAGAAAAAAGCTAGAAAGTTAAAGCAAATAACCGAGCTTCAGAGCTTACACCTAATGCAATTTATGTTTATTTAAGTAAACACTACTTATTTAAGCTCTTATATATTCAGATCAAACACGAGACATTAGAAATAATGTAATTATCATTAATTCTAAATACCAACAGCCAATGAATATTTTCTATTTTCAGTGAAATGAACATTCGCGGTTTTCGCATGAATTTGTCATATTTTCCATTATTTACAATGCTGCATTTATAATTTTATCTCGATGATGCAACAGCAGAACAATTCAAGAAAGATGTCTTTTCTCCAGGACAAATTACTGCAGAAAGTTTTTCAGTACATCTTTTATTCCCGAATGATTAAAAATCCTCTTTAAAAGTCCCGTTCCTTCGGTAAGTTAAATTGCGTTTCAGTTAACAAGTCGTCTTATTTTTTGCTTTCTTAATCGGGATTTTATTTGGAAGTTTAGCATAAGTTATTTATGAAGAACATGAAAAACACGTTGAGTAGGTTGGACTAATCAAACTAAAATTTAGCGGCGTATAAATCACGATCGGACTTTTTGTGTGGAGTGTAGAACATAAAAAAAACACTTACCTCTAATAAAAAAGCTTGAGTTAAGCCCCCGTTAAATCCTTCAGTACATCGAATTTGAAATGATGTCATTGATATATTTAGAATTGTGCAATTATGCACCTGATCTGGGCGCCCTGTAATATAATTGATGTTTTCAGTGAAAATAAAAAGCAGGAGAACACAGTAATAAAATTCAAAACAGCTGTTTCACGGCCCTCTTCTCGAGGAATATTTTGTCATAAAAAGTATAAATAACAAAATAGGAAAAATCCTGCAACGTTACCAGAGTAAAAGCCTGTAAAGTTTTACAACCATGCATAGTAGCGGACTTTCGGTGGCTTTTACGAAACGCCGAAGAATAAATTGTTTACTTGGGGAAGAGTTTTTAGAAAGCATCAGCACCAATTAAGTTATTTTTATTGGAAATCAAGTTTCTGTCCAGCATGTAATAAAAAAAAAAAATTAGAAGAGTTGTAAAAGTCAATATTCCCAACTAGTCCTTCCTCTTCTTTTGTCCGACATGATTTTCTCTCAAGTGGAGTTGGATTATAATAGGCTATTATGACAGGATTTTATAAACTAGAGTTTAAGTTAGAGACTAACCCAAACTAACGCAAACTGACGAAAATTACAATAACGGTTTGTTGCATTATTGCAATTAATCAATCTATCTCAATTACACTTAGCTCAATGGGCCAGTTCTCGCTTTTCTGAAGAAAATTTGGGCGAGTTTGTGAATTATTTCTGCTCTTAATTCCATAATATTTTCTGGCGTTGTGAGATGATTGCTACTGTCGTTTTACAAAGAAAATGTTCTAAAGGGGTGAAATTAAAATAACTAAGCAGCCACTCACCTCAAAATTGAATGAAATAATTATGAATCTTATATAACTGACTACAATTATTTCTTTTAAAAATATTTTTTTTAATTATGTATTATTATTGAAGTAAATATACACAGGGGTCCACACAAATTGCAATTACCATACGATTAACAACAAATCCCGTAATCCAGGGGATACGAAAATATGCTTAAAAATCTGTTATGTGCGTGGTAAAACATGACAGAAAACAAGGCCTTTAATTAGCATGTGCTGTTGTAATTAAAACACTGTTCAGCACAGGTCCATGGTAAATAAAATCATGTCACGTTCGTGGCCTCCAATTAAGAAAAACAGAGCTTGAATTGATTGGACCTAAATTAAAAACACGTACTTTAGATCAAACGTTTTTTTGGGGCAAATAACTGGGTATGTGGATTAGAGACATTTTCCATTGCCTGGATTTGTATGCGGTAAGTAACATATTTGCATAAAGATATACATCCAAGTCTAGTTCTGAAACGATCTTCTATGATCTGAGTGTTTAACTGTAAACGCTACTGAGTGTTTAAACAATAAGTAATAAAAATTCAACATATATGACTTTGTTGTTGGTATCTGAAGCGCGAGCTTAAATGTGAAATATAGAAGGCATTCCTTCCCAGACAAGATTCACAGGGGCATGAAAAACGGCATAACATCTGCGAGAACTTAGCAACAGTAACGTCGAACTTTTATTTTTGTTAAGTACGTAAAAATGTAGTGAAATTTTTGTGGTTTAATACGGTATCCACTCTCTTGCCACGACATTTTATAGAATATTTTCTGCAGCGGAACTTACTTCATCAGTTTACTTCATTTCGTATAAAGCAAGAGGTGTTTTATGGTAAAAAGATGTGTCACCGAACCGCTCCATAAAGATTTTTCCATTCTTCTCAAATATTCTAGACTTGGTATCAAGGAAAGCTGACTATAATAAAATAGAAAAGCTAAATAATAATGCTGAGAAATTAAAGCAATATTACTTTTCAATGTTTGCTGGCTGAATTTTACCTAAATAAACTATTAATTTCATGCTAAAAATTAAACTTTTGATTCTATCTTTTGACATTAAATTAACTCTGCTACCTCTCAACTCCTGAACAGTTGACCCTTGCAGCTTGAAGAAACATGTGCAAATGAGAAATATTTCTTTCCCTCTTAAAATAAATGAACAAAAAACATGAAAAATGCTGAAACACCTGTTGTTTTTTAATTGAAACACCTGTCGTTTGGCTTCAATAATTGGTAGAAAAATGCAGTTATGAAAAACATTTTCATTTCTTCGTTTCGAAAATTGGCTGTTAGGTTCATAAGCGGCTTCCGTTCAATTTAACAATATCGTTCAATATTTCTAATAATTTTTCAACCAGAAGATTGAAAATTAAGTTAAGCTAAATTTAAATTTTGCTGTTGTTCAATAATAACATTAACCAAAACAATAATTTATTTTCATTAACCGAGCGCTCAAACGTATAAATTGGATGAACTCTTGCTAGTTTTGAGTGAGTGGAGTGCTAAACTTAAAATTATAGATTCTAACGACGTTTAATAGGGGCTATATTGAATGGAGAAACAATAAATGAAATAAAATATGATGAAAGAAGCAGATATGAATATCATGAAACTAACAACAAATTTGTCTCCAACAATTACTGGTAGCAAGCCAAATTAAAGTGCAGGAATTTATGGTTTGAAGAGGGATTAGGAGACGCCGTTGTAATAGAAAATCTGGAAACAACATTTCTAGCACATTTCTAGCCAACTCCTTTCAAGCTTATTGAGAAATATAAACGGATTATTGAATTAAAATAAATACCGGCGAAAACTAAATAGAATGAAATACTGAATGAAAATAATTAATTATGAAAACCAACCTTAAGTAGTCTTACGCTGATACCAGAGTAATCTAAGATTTGCACAAAATTAAAAAAAACTAGACAACTAAAAGTACAGAATAACATAATTCTAATACCGAGAAAATTCCGCCATGAAAAATGAAAATAAAACGTAAAACGGAATGTTAAAACATATTTGAAATTTGAATTGGAAAGCAAATTTTTAACTTTTGTATGTATCCAAGTTATTTGTTTAGATATTAATTTCAGATGGTTTAGTGACAGTATGCTTTTGTCGCGGGAAATTATAAACAGATTTAATATTTAATTGGTAATTAATAATACGTTTTTTATTTTAAATTATAATTTTCAAATTACATTTTTTTTACTGTTGATGGCGAAATTGCAGGGTGCCTTGCCTTGCCTTGCGTCCTGAATTAGAATATTATTTAAATATTTTGAATGAAAATTCATGATTCAAAAAAAAGAGCATATGTTTAGACTGCATTAGGGACTCTATTAATTAAAAATTTAATATTTGCCGAAAAAACACATATTTAGCACATGCGAACTAAAGTTTGGTAACAGACAAATTAATGACTCAACAAAAATCTGAAATTTGAGTAAATTCAGGGCGAAAGTATTACGTTAACCAATTGTCTATCTTCTCTTCTTGTGGCCTGAAATCAGCCTTTTTATGGCGATTAGAGACATTACGTCCAACGACTATACAAAGCTTTCTACGGATTGTTTAGTAGTTTGGCAACATTTTGCACATTGCACAAATACTATTTCTGCTCGCATTCCCTTGTGTTGCTTTAATGTAATTGCCGTTAGAGGCACTTAAAGCAACAAAGTTAAAAGAAAATTGCAACCGGTCTGAAGTTCCTAAAATCAGGAAAAAAAGAGGACCGGGACGTACCTTGCGTGTTTGGAATAATTGCGTGAGTTTGCAGATATACGTTTCGTGTTTGAGTGACTTGAAACAAAGCAGAGAATACGTGAGTATGCGAAAGTTGTTATGCCATGACGAGAGCCTGAAGTATTTGCTGCCACCTTTTGGCATTTCTAGTAATCGTTCACGAATATTATATGTGAAATATCTACCAACCGTTCCACATCGCTATGAATAACTTACTCAGGAGCGAATATAGTTGTAAGAGTAAACAATGAACATATTTTTTATCTATTGAAAACCTTTACGAACCCATTTGCTATTATAAACCGCAAAATGTCCAATGAGATGATATGAGATTAGCACACGTGAATATATTTTTCCTCTTGATTTTGTAAACAACTCTAAACCAACCAATTTCGAGTTCAAATTATGCTCTATCTTCACTCATACGAAAGTTATGCATTTCACATTAGTTAGACTTAAATAATTTTATGTAGGTTTTAGCTTCTCTAGCTTCTAAAAAGTTGTCTATAAAATATATATTGAGAAGAACTGCCCAGACTATGCTGATAATATGTTCTGCGCTTTTCGAAAACACAACCTTAATCTTTTTTAAACTAAATTGCTAAATGCGATACCACTTCAAAGCTAACAATGTATGGTTAAGTCAGATGTTCATGCTCATTACTTAGCACAACGGTTTCTAAGTGTAATTCTACACTCGTGTAATATGGTCCTTCCTTTAAACGAAAGACGGCGCAAAAGGAGATGATAAGGAAAAAGGGGAGAGAAAAGATATTTTTCCGCCAATTGATTTTGTTCAGATAAAACATCCCGGGGTATATCTCAAGGTACGATTGGCAGCAATAAAATCTAACGTTAATGGCGGAATTATACAAATAGTTAGACCTTTCCCTTTGATCTTTACCGCTGAAATTATTGCTCTCACGGTAGCAAAGTCTTCCCGTTAAGAATGCCCTACCTAACATTGCCATTCAACATGAACTCTTAATATGTATAAAGATGAATTTACATTTATTGGCCAGCCTTTGAAAAAAAATGATTTTTTTAATTTGAAACTATAGTTGTCGAAAAACCTTTCAAATCAAGCTTCTAATGGATTATTAATTAGGAAATTTGGTTCGTGTGGTTAATTGACTTATGTTTGCATTGATAAACTCCCAGCTGAAAGTTATTAAAATAATTTTGCAATCGAGCAAGACTTTTGAAGTGTGCAAATACATTGAATACATTTTCAACCACATTGACACGCCATGAATGAATGTGGCAAATAATATTAAATGAAAGTCAATATTTTACATCACTCTGGCATTGCATTTTGAATAGACATCGAAATGGGACTCTTCAAACTGCATGTTGGAAACATTTCACGGAGTGAACCGTCCAGAGAATAAAAATTTACCTTTGAAATTTCTCAGCGCTCATTGTTATTCAGTTAGCAGCGGTCTGCATAAAAATGAATCAGCACAATGCACTTGGGAATAGCTGGAGGTAGCAGCCTGGTAAAATATACATACATACATACATGCATGGAGTGCAAACAAAATTATAATTCGCCAAATAGAATTTTCTAGTTAATCTGTCATTTATATTAGAACTGAACGGTGACTTGTTTTTCAGAATAATTTGCGATTAGTGAACTGCAACAAGATTCCATTATCTACCTTTACCCTCTACCATTTTCATTTGCAATTGAAATTTAACAGAAAATTATTTTTATTTATAACATTTTCTTGTCCAAATCATTTGCGGCCGTTCAATGCCACCTTTGTTTCACCAAGTTTTACTGGGAGCTCTTCGGTGTTAGCTTAACGCAAATTTTTGGAAATTTCTAGTAATGTATAGTATCATTTTCTTTCATTCGTCCAGGTGCAATCATAGATTCATGAAAATCAGGCAACAGTAGAGCGAAATTATAACTAAGCAACCTAGTAAATTGTTTGTGAATTGTCATCAATCAATGCAGTTATTGAGATAATTTTTTTAACCATCAATTAATCCATTTAATTTATTGAAAATAACTTTTCATTTTCGAATTGAAATAGAAAATAAATAATAGAAATGTGCATGTGTTGTTGATGCTGATGATTTTGAAACTTTAGTTACTTGTCTTCCTATAAGACAAAGATTGAAACATAATTTTACTTAGAAAACAGCGAACCATAATAGTTAATTTCTGCACTTAATTGATCTCATTTTCGTCTAGAGCTAAGACTGTTAATCTTACCAGCGGCAATTATATGAAAAACACACGGCACTCGTTGCATTCCAATTTTATTGGCTGCATAACACAACAACGTTCCATAATCCAATTCAGTCATTGGAGTATATGTGACTATACTGGATGTTCCACTTTTTGCGATGTGGGATTGGGCCACATCCACTGAATCAGCCGAGTTATTAAATGTCCATTTAAACTGAACCTGCAATAAAAAAATATTTAAAAAAAGCCATTTATTTAATCCATTAGGTTCACAATTATATTAATCGGTTTCAAGCAACTGGGAAATAGGCAGTATCCTAATTTGGAAAAAATACACATGCAATGCATCTTCTGGAATAAACTGATATATTCGGACAGCTTAAATCTTTAGCTTGAATTTTTCTGTCACTCAAAATTGGCGTGTAAATTGATTTGGTGGGGTAGAAAATTATGCATTAAAAATTTCCTAACTGCCTTGGCTGGGCAATTAAAGTGCGTACTTTTGATGTGATTTATTTTGGTGTACTTTTGACATATTTTTTTATTTTACTGAGCAACTGCACAAGGTAACGCAAAAAAATTATTATTTATTGCCAGCCGCATGGAAAATAGTTAAGGCTTTAGATAGCTAAACAGTTTTATAATGGTGTAACATATAACATTAGAAAGGAAAAAGGAAAGTACTTATTTCAATGTCTCTGGGAGAAAATACAAAAAAATACAGTTTATATCTGGAACATTGTAAACTTACAACACATTATATTAGTAATTGCAATCTGTATTTTCATTGCATCTCAACCATTTAAATTTATATTTCAAATTGAAAAATAACGTTTTTAAAACTACGCCCGTATTTCTTTTCAATCTGTATATTGCTACATACTGCCGAAACATGAACAAATTTGAAACTGACCACGAAATATGTGCAATTTCATTCTCCTCCGCTTTAAAATAACACTGAGCGTTACACTAATTGGATAAAAAGTTTCCAACATAAATAAACATACAAAACGTTTTTATTTAAACAAATCTAACTTTCCTCTTATAGCAAATTAAAAACAAAACGACTTTTTCGGATTGTTTACTTTCAAGTTTTTAATTTAGTTACCTCCGGGGGATTTGCGTCCACTTGGCAAACAATTTCGGCTCTCTCCTGCTTGGCTACACCATAAATTCTGGTCTGATTCGGCTTGCAGGTAGGGGTGTCTGAAAATAAATTAGGATTAAAGATTTTTTTCTTGAAATGAAACAGGCCGGACTTGAAGTAGCAAATCAAGATACAGTTGCGTTCAATTCCAGTATATCACGCTTACTAGAACAGAAAAGTCTGACAAAACTCATGTAGCGGGAAGTTGCTTTTGCCTGAAGTGTAACAAGCAAATATTTTTAATGAAGCGAATTCTTTGAAAAACTTTTGTGAAAGTTCATTTCCATTTCAAACCTGAACCGGTTGAGGTTAATACTTACACAAGACATTCAAATAAAACGAGTTGCTTTCGCCTTCTCCTTCCAGGTTGTATCCAACGCACGTATAATTTCCAGCTGTGGATCTTGAAACACCTTGTAGTACCAAACTCTGATTACTAATAATGATTCCTGCATTCACATTGGCCTGGAGGTGCTTTCCCTATAAGATTAGAAATAATGTGCGTTAGAAATGTTGAATTGAAGTTATTCTCGAAAATATTTTGCAAGATGCGTGCTTTATTTTAAGACTTTAAACAACTGAAAGGTTCAATTGAAATGTCCATTTCTTCATATTCTTCAAGCGCAGCTCTACACTTTAAATCTGATCCCTCCAGAAGCTTGATAATTTAAAAAGGTATTTTCGGAATGATGAAAATACGTCAGGTTTGTACTTGCGTCGAAAATAGGATCAAATTGCTTAAGAACTGGACGTAATGAATCCAATTTTGTAGTTAATAAAATCATGAATGTAAAACATATCTTGCGTCTCATAGCTCAATAGTAGTAAAACATATTTCCATTCGATATTATTTTTATGCTTCTTTTTAGAAAACCCAGTAGATATTGTATAGATATTGATATCCAAGTGTTTGAACTGTTAACAACGTTTAAAGTTAAAGTTTTCTAAGCTAAAGCTCAGAAAGAAAGTCTTATTCAAAGTAGCTCAGAGCTGAATGGTACATGCATGTATAAAACCCACTTAGTAAATGCAAATGGGCTAAAGTAACTATGTGTATATTTAAGTAATTTGCTTATTGAAAATATTTATTTCTAGATTTAGTGCTTTTGACACACATTATGGAAAACGAATCGAAAAATACGGCTTTACTTAGTATCTGGTTTTGAAGTATGTCTAAATATCCCAAACGAATGTGCATTTTTATGGCTTTATCTATCGTAATTTATGTAGTCATAGTCGACTATTTGGCCAGCACATAAATATTTTAAATTACATGCTTACTAGCAGATAATATTGACCCAGCGACATGAATTCCAAGATATATTGTTTCTATGCATTTGGCGATCTGCGAATCGAAAAATACTGTAAATTGTCTCAGTATCTGCTCTCTTCCAACTCTGTTGGAACGTGTTCTACAATCTTTTCACTTAGAACATCATGCAACAAAACTGAATCAACTACCTTTAAAATTAAAATTCTTGAAACCGAAAAAGTCGAAATAAATGACGCATTCCATTGGACGATGCAATTCGGGAATTTATGTAATTTAAATATAAATCATTGGGCGTACTGTTTTTGGGATTTGCACTATTTAAACTCGAAACAGGAGAGCAAATATTACGCAATGTAGACCTATAATGCATCAGGAACTTCAGCCGAGTAATGGCGTATTTCCAAATCAATTTCTGACGCCAGACGATCATTCTGCAGTATTGTGTTGTAATGAGAATTAATGGAAATATACAGAGATGGAAAACTCATCATGGAAATTAACATTGGAAAACGCGATGTTGGCTTATTGCTGGATGTTGACTTATTTGCTGGTATACGTAACAGCCAATCAATTAGTAGAAACTCAAATTGCTGTACAAAACAGCAAATTAAACGTGGATAAACAGGTCAACATATTAATTAAACAGTTGCAAACGAACTTGTTGAAGTGAGAGATCTTTTGTAAATACACCACTTTGTATTAGGAAACTGTTGAATCTCATGTTTTTATGTTCTACGCTTTCCTCGCATAAGTTCTACAATATGCTGGAACATTTTCCAGTTACTTGTAGGAGACTCCTAAACGTTTGAACCTACATTTTTGGAGCAAATTTCTGCATATGTTTTCTCCGGGATTTGTTATTGGAATACCTTCGATCTGTAAAAGGAACTACCAGACTGCTGAACTTCCGTTTGTCCGTTCCCTCAACTGTTTGTTGCCGCAATATCCCATTCTTTAAAGGAAATCTATGTCTCAAGATACTTGCATGTATCTGTAACGGAAACTCAAATGAGCTGGCGTTTTCGCATTATTCATATTTTGCCAACAAGTCTTGAGGAAACTTAGTAAAGCCGAAGTTTTGTTCATATACCCCAGGCAATTAGACAGTTTAATCTATCGGAAAAGAGCATATTTTACCTCAAATTTAATTAACTCTAGTGAAATTTAATTCACCGTTGATTAAATCTGAGGTTCGTCAAAGAATGCAATTTTTCCTTATAGTCCATAACAGAAGGTCTCATAACACCAAAATTGAATAGTATTGGAAAACGATGTGTTTTGGGTGTTTCCTCTGCAAGAGTCGCTCCGTGAAAATTTTTCAAAATAATTTTTTTGCTGGTTTGAGCAGACAATTTTCCCGAAATAAATATCACTCTTTGAATTTGTTATGAATTAAAAAGAAAATATGTACTATAAAATTGCTTTCAGTATTGCATAAAGAAAGACGATAAAATCGATATATTTTTAATATTCATTTAAACTGGTGCAATAACAATAGACAAATTTATTCGGTTATGGCTACAAGTATTAATAAATATTAGCCAAAAAATATAATTTTGTAGGCTAATTAGATTATAGTAAGATTATTTCTAATCTATATTTCAATTTAAAAGTAATCCCTATGTTAAGAATAGGTCTGCATTCACCAACATTGTTTGCCCATTATTGCCTGAAGACATGCGATTCTAATAGTTCCCATTTACTTTTCAGCTGGGATTTAACAGCATTTGATCACAAAATAGTGAATTTATTTCGAATTATGGTCATGTTGACCGTGCAGTTTTCTTACGTGCACCCACCTTCTAAATGAAGAAACAATTAATCTAAAATTAGATCAAAACCATTTGTATTTACAATATAGAAAATTTATTTGATGTTATGACTTCAAATCCATTGGCCGTTATACAATGTAAGAAATTAAATACAACTGGAGGAAAACCGCGAAAATATAAAAATTTCACCGTCTATCAAGTAAGTCAAATCTGATTTATAGCCAACCAGACATATACATATATTTTATGATGCTTTCAAATCGAATGCTTTATCCGTCGTGTTCTATTTTAAGTCTAACAGGAATATATTTCAAATTACATGACATTTTACTAATATCCGAAATGTATCGAGCAAACTTAGGCATCTGCACTGAAGTTATGTAATGCATTGCCGATATCACTTTGTATGGGGAATCGTAATTAATGATTTCAGTTTGAATTAGTTCGGCTTTGCTAATGGTGATAGATTTACTTTCAAAGCTCGAACATGTATTAATTGGAATGTAACTGGTGGCAGAATTTAAAACGTTCCTTTGTCTAATTGAGAAAATGGAAATATACTCTTGGTTTGTTATCTTGATTTTACTTACATTATGCCTCCACTCGACCTTGTAAGCCGGAGGATGGGCGTTGATAATACAGTCAAAATAAACATCAGTCCCTTCTCGAACTGCGTTAGGATTAAGGGATAGCCCTAGATTTATCCGAGCTTCCGGCGTATCTGCAACACAAATTTCCCAATGTGGTTTTATAGTTTCTTTTTCGGATTAAGCGGTTGCATCTTATCAAGGATTCTCACTCTTAAGACCAACTTGAATCACATTATGTCATTCACGCCATGAGAAAATCAATCCAATGCAAACTTACAGTGAATTTCAAGCGTCCAGCCATCTTCCATATTTTCGTTGTCTAATGCTTTGTTTTCTGCTCTGCATGACAGATATTTGCCATCATCTTCCTTTTTTGGAATGAAGGTCAAAGTAGACGTTGTGTTTCCATCAGTAGAAATCTGTAAATAAATTTAGTTTAGCACTTTTTACAATTAATAACTCAAACTGTACACAATTAATCTATCTGGATCTGCTAATTATTGACTTAAATTTTCAGCACTCACGTCTCTCAGCAAATTATACAATCACGTAAGAAAATGTAGTTTTGGACTCAATCAAAATTTCGTCTAAGTCGTCTTTTTAATTGAAAACTAAGAATATTTTCCACTCATGGTCAATGTCCCTTTGTGACGATATGAATGAAAAGTTGGCAAATCTGCAAGTATGGTGAAATTATCAATTGAAAATGTTAGCTCTCACGGCACTCGGCAACTTCTCTAAAGACTCACAAGAACAAAACAATTACAGCTCATAGTCAAGGTGAATGCTCTTTTGTAGAAATAAAATGAAGCGCCAACAAAACTGCAAGTTCCATGAAATTAATAACTTAAATTCTTAGCTCTCCATCTCTCAACAACTTAAAAACTACATAGAAAAACGCTCCTTGAAATTCATTAGAAATGCCTTTTAAGACGCCTTTTTTTCATGACATGTAAGACAAATTTAAACTCATAGCTAATATACATGCTACTTTGTAAGAATAAAATACAATGTTAACAAAACAACAAGTACGTATCTCCGCAAACAAATCCGAAAACGCGGAATTATAGCCTTATGTCCATATTTCTTTCAAAACACGAAAACGCTCCATTCCAATAAAGAGGAAAATTACAATATAACTTGAAAACTCAGATAGCAGTTCAAAGCAGGAACATTACATTTACTGCAAATAAGATTCAACAAACAGCATAAAACTTGCGTTATCAAAATCGTAATAAATATTTGGACATTTGCTTCAAACGTACGGAAAACTCTACGCAGATGAATACGTTCAGGTTTATATTCAGGGCTTCCGAACATTATGTGGAAGATGCCCATTCCGATTTAAACACGTAACAATAGTTAAACAATGATTAAAAGTAAATTGTCTTGAAATATGCGTTAGTTTCATAGTATTATAGAAAAATTTGCTGGTAGTTATTGAGATTTTCTATTTTTTGGTGGTTTATTTCCAATTTTTATTGGTTGATAAATTAATACAACTGTTGAGAATCATCTTCGATATTTGCCAAACGATCAATGATAAAAAATCTATCAATGCGGACTTTTTGTCGACTTTACTTTTCAGCGACATTATTTGAAATCAGCACTGTAAACTGACAGAGGCAAAAATCGCAAACTCCGAAAATCCAATGGGTTATTCGTCTAGGTCGGTCTATTCCATTCAACTCGAACTTGGCTGTCTCCTCTGTCTGATTTGTTTTGGAAACTGTTATTATCTATACCGGAATGCTATTTGCATGAGGAAGCGGAATTAGAAAAGTTGCTGAAATTTGTAGACCCGATACCGACTTTACAAGAAACACGTAAAATTGTTAGAGATTTGATCTATGGAAACCGTAAATAGGAGCTCGTAAACTGACCTACTTCAACTGAAATTGGTGGCAACAAATTTTGCTTTAATCATCGCAAGGCAAAACAATTAAAATTTGCATTCCTACCAAACAGTTTCGTAAAATGCTACTAACTTAATTGATCTTTATTCGTTTTTTCGCTGTCATCGTTGCTATATTCACACTTGCTTGCTAGTTGGTGTAAATGTGTATAAAATGTATGGATGACTTATCACAGTAAGTTTTAAGCGACACTTTATTAACTAGATTATCTGAAACTTCAAAGTTGCGATCCCCAGCTAGAAATTAAAAACTCATTACGGCAAGTCAGTTAGTTCAAATCCACGATTTCTTATCGAATGTCCCAATATAACTGCAAGTCCTGGGAGCATTTGTCTGGAGATTGCCAGCTGGCCTAATTGCGCCCCTTTTCAGCGCTTTCAAACTAGATGAAAATTGTTGAGAAATCCCGAGAAGCTGATAACTTCTCTAGGTTAAAATTTGGATTTTGCGGAACCGAAGATTTAACTTTTCATGTTGCAAGTTTCCTGTCACTATTCTAATTTATGGAAATAGATTGCAGAAGAGGGTCTCGAGTGCATTTTCCCCAAAAATTATTACTTATTGAAAGTGTGTAATTCCAATTGGAAATTTCTAGCATTGGAACTGAAGTGGAAGAAATGCGTGACTAATTTTAACTTTCCACTTTACTTCAATTTAAATAGAATGGGATTGATCTGAAATATTACATGCAAAACAGATTATAATCGGCTGAGAAGACAAATCGTTAAATTTCATGAATTTTATATTCATCGCTCTATGCGAATTTGTTTAATACATATACTAGTTCCATTTGGCTTATAGCTATGAAAAATATATTTTTACAACTACTACATTCCGTTTGATTTAATGTGATAATTTCAACAGCCAAAACTGGGTGGGAAGAGCTTTCAACAGCCAATTGATTAATTTTTTTCATTAATTACGCAAAAGTCTTCTTTCAAAAAACGCATATGCTCGTTTGAGGGAAACCATTAATAGCTAATATTCTTATTGTTGGTTTTTACGTAAACTCATGCATACTAAATTTTTAATTTGACTGATGGAAATCGTGATGCTTGAGTATTTTCATGCAAGAATTAGGCAATCAAAGCATGTTTTAGGACTGTTTATAACGTCCCCAACGATCGGCTTAGAAAAATGCAGCAGCAATTATAGTAAATTAAAAAAATATCAAAATTACATTAAACCGCTAGTTTCACGTTACTGTGGTGCTGTAACGAAAACGCAATTGATGGAGTAATTTTCAGCTGTAATCTTAGATATTGAACGCTTGTATGAAAGCAACTGTAAATGGCCCTAAGCTGATTTTTATAGTAAAATGAACTTATTGCAAAACATTGTGACTAAAACCTTTGTCAAAGACCACAATTTGTCACCTTTATATAAAAATATACAGTGCTTAAAAACCTGTTCAAATTCGATTCATTTTTGTGTTTTTAACATTTTTGAAAGGCATAGCGAGGGTATCCATAACACACGAGATATATATAGTGAATTTCAATTAACAACAATATTCATAATAGAAAATATAATTTAAATTCATACACGACGCTACCTAATATTTCAAAATCAAGTTTGCATATTATTGTCTACTTCATAACATGCATCCTATTATTGGGATATTACTACTTTAGGTATACTCCTAAAATTCAAAATATCGAATTTCCCATTAGCTCGTTACTCTTCATACCATAATTACATTAGGTAAATTAATATTTCCATTAAGCCAAAAAGTTATTTGCACGGGAAATAAATGTAGAACTTTAAACAAATGTTATAATGTTTACTTACAAATCACACATAAATCCAGTCTGCTTACGAAAGAGATAATTGATCACCTAGGTCAATGGGTGTTGAAAACGTGCATTTTAAAAATAATTTTTGCAGCCCCTAGAATATAATCCACTTACAAGTTTATGCGGAGTAACCCTTTCTTGGCAGCTCTATTAATTTGGGCAACAACAAAGGCGGGAGAAGAATTCCTTTAAAGTGTATGAAATTAAATTAACTTCAACTATAAATCTTATCCGCCTATAGTCGCTGACACGTAATAAATCATGTAAACGTTTTCTGCATACAACTTTTACCAGTATGAACAACACAATATGGAAAATGTGAATGAGATTAACTTAATTCGAGGAAGGTCTTAGAAAATGTGCGGTAATTTGATTTTTAGTGGTAGCCAGTCAATTGATAAAATGGAGTGATTCTCATTGGTCCCTTAACAACATGATGTTGAGTGCAGTAATTTTATTGAGCTGACTGATTTCAGAATAGGAAACAAATTAAGTGAAAACAGACTGAAATCACAATGCAATCATCTCAATGGAAAAATATTTAAGATAACTTCGGAAAGGGAATTTATAATATTATATGAAATTGAATTAAGTAAGAACATAAATCTTGTATGCTTAGCGGACCCGTCAGCGACAAACGATAAATCATGCAAACACCTCCTGCTTATAATTTTCATAAACATGAGCAATGCGACAGAGGAAATGGATGGTGAATTACACTTTACTTGTAACTAATACTGCATTTTTAATTCCGAAATACATATAAAGCAGATGTGTTTTAAGGCTGATTTTAAATTTTATGGGTATCAAAACCATGTGCTAAATTTCTTTAGCTATAAATAAATCCTAATCAAGGCAAAATAGGCTTTAGTGTCAGAGAAACATTCAAGAAAAAGTTACATAAAAGCTAATAATAAAAAATACAAAATATGGCACATACAATGACAAAAACAAAAAGTAGTACCAAATTTAAAAAACAAATTCCTGATTTGTATATTACTTTGGCGCCTATCTATTACGTATGTATTGAATTTATGTATTTTTCTTTTAGCATTTTGGTTCAATTTTAATTTATTTCAGACCTTTCAAAGCAGCGTCTAGTGTTCTTTCATTCTTCTTTGCTCGCTATGGCAATATTCAAATTGAACACGAATTTCAGAATTGGAATCATTAGCTAGTATTATATTTAGTTAATTATTCTAAAACAGGCACATTCAACAAATATCAGGTTGACTTCTAACATCTTATCGATACATTTATCAATGTTTATTGTCGTATTGCGAGTAAATAATCCAAATTAAAAATTAATGTAAACCTCGAGTCAGATAGAAGGTATGCTTTTATGGCATGGTTTGGAAACTGGATTTTCGCGTTTCCCAGCTTTTTGTAAATATTTTTAGGAAATCTCATTATGTTTTATGGAAACAGCGTCAATTCGCTACGAAATAATTTATGGCCTCTTGCGGCTCGAAGATTATGAATATTTAAACTAAAGTATTTCGTTTCTTTAGAACATCTCCAAATAAAGAAAAGTGCTTTTTCCATTTATTCTGATACCCAAATTTTCGACTTCTCCAGACGATAAGGTAAGAAACTGGAGTTTTCTATAGCAAAACTATAAAGTTTTCTAGTTTCGTAGAAATTTAATTTGATCTTTCAATATAAGCAATATGTTGCACTTTCCTATTATGTGCATATATTTAACTTAAATAATAGTAATAATACTTAAGGGACATGTGAGCCTTAAAAAGTTCTTCCAGTGGAAACCTATTTCAAGTTCGATTGACGAAAAAACAGCTGGCTTCTCTAATCAGACAGAAGTGTGAATATTGGTGTAAAATGATATTAATTCAGCTTCTCTCAAACCAGCACAATCCATCAATGTAAACACCAATATTCTCAGACCACCTAGCAAATAACTCAACGTCAACATGTCACATAATTTTCAGCTGTTCATGGCCTAAAAAATATTTTTAATATACATAATATTTAGTATGGCGCTTTTGTTCTTTAGCAGGTATGTTTGGCATCCCGTATAAAACACTTGCTTGAAAAAAATGTCAAAGGCGTATAATTGCAGGAACAAGAAGTGAAATTCACAGCCGTATACAAAATGGATATAAGAAATATTATGCATCAGGTTCAGAAACTGATCATTTGGATAAGGATCAGGTTCAGAACGACGAGATTAAACTTGTGGCTGCTCATGTTGGATCAGGCTATTGCAGGGCAGCACTTGTTTCGATTAAAGGGGAACTTGTGAAACTTGCTGCGATGCCTTATAAAGTTTTTCACCAGGGGGTGTTTAGTGAAGCATCTTCGGAGAGTATATGGAATACCTTGGTCAAGTGCATTGAGGTACGAAAATCGATATGTGTTTGACCAGGTTTAAACTCTATTAATCTCAGATGTTTCGAAAGCTGTAACAAATTTTTGATGCCATAAATGTCTTGCAGAATATTTTTGAGCTGGTGATTTCATATATCGAAAATGTTTAAAAATGTCCAATTGACAAAAGCATATTTTCATTAAGTGAAGGCTGAGTAATCGATATATCCATGCCAGTTAATTGTTTGTTGTTATATTTGGTTTAAGGTTTATTACTAGAGAAGGAACATTCAGTGTTGAATAGCGTTATTTTAGCAGTCAATTGCTTTTCTAATAAGTAGTTGCATCATTTTTTCATTTGTGTTTGCGGTTATTAATGTAATCAACCGGATTCCGTGAGCCATAAACAGAGAAATCTTCTTTAGTTTGCATTGATAATAACCATTTTGGTTCCAAACTTGGTAAAGCCAACAAAAATAACGCATCTACAGCTAAAAATTAGTTGCGAATTGTGGGCATTGCAGTAAAACATCCTTAAAAATAATTTCTCTTCAATTTATGTAGAAAGTTACGGATCAAGAAAATTTAGATAAAATCCGTGGAATAGGATTTATTGCCATTCCAGCATTAGTGTGTCTTGATGCGAATAGAAACCCTTTAACTGCAAGCGCAAGCCGTAAGTGTAAGCGTCGTTTAAAATTGATTTGCGATTACATAGATTAAAACTATAATAAATAAATAAAAAACTAAAGACATTTGTATCGCTTCGCAAAATTACAAAAGTTAATGTTTATTTAATTCTTAGGAGATCCTAATATAAATGTTATATTTCACTATGATACTCGTTCATCATTGGAAGCCGATAAAGTCAACGCAACCCATCATGCATTATTGAAATATTTCGGCGAAAGAGTTTTGCACGGGCTGGAAGAATCGAAACTGATGTGGCTTAAAAATAACTTAAAAGAAGATTGCTGGGATCAAGTAGGGCATTTTTTTGAACTCACGGATTTTTTAACGTGGAAAGCTACGGGCTCGTTTGTTAGGTACTAGGTAACCACAGTTTGCGTTAGGTATTATTAAAATCAATTATGGTCGTTTTGTTATGAGGTCTTCGGGTACATTAATTGCGCAATGGACGTACGAAATTGCAGTCAATGGAAATGAGGGCTGGAATGCCCAGTTTATGGAAAAAATTGGCATTCCCGAAATGGCGGAAGATAATTTTAGAAAAATTGGTACATTTTTTGTAGTCAATTTCCTGCTTTTGTTGCTTTGAGTCAGTGAATGCAAGATAGCTCTACTAATATATTACTATTCAGGCTCAGTAGTTCAACGTCCTGGAACCCCGATTGCTGATGGGCTTTTAGAAAAAGTTGCTAAAGAAATGGGTTTACCTGAGAAATTACCTGTTGCCAGCGGCATACCAGACGGTTTGGCTGGATGTTTAGGCTTAATAGGTTGCAAAGTTGAAAATATAGCTGACGATATAACTAACCGTATGTGTAAGTATTGAACAACTGAACCACCACTCTTCGTTGGCAGATTATTGCAAGCTTTTTGAGTCTAGTCCGATGAGTTTGAAATATAGTAAAGCCCTCTGCTATATACATATATGCTTCCGTCAATCAAGCTTTGTTAGGAATCAGGCTACTGTACGATGCACCTGGAAAACTTTCCCCTTTTCATCCAAAACTTTGATTTTAGCTATCAAGTTTTTGACAACAAAATTCATTAACAAACATCGGTTGCGTAATTGCCATGTTGCAAATTACTTTAAAATCCTGCCTTTCTAAAAACATTATCAAGAGCATATAAAACCACACGCTTCCGTAATAAGTTTTCGCGAAAGTTAGACGTTCTTTAAAGTTTGCTTTTATAATCTAAACAAAGCTGCTATACCTATATTAGTTTAGTTCACGAGTTCGCACATCTAATTAATGATATCTTATTGCGCACACTTTGCTACCAACATGAGATTATGCATATATTTTCTTGCAGTTATAGTTTGCTTATTATATGTTATGCCTGAAAATATCAATGACCAAAAAGTGGAACAATTAATGAATTTTCAATTCATATGTGTAAGTTTCCTCTGTTCTTGTTTCTGTATAGATGAATTTTTGAATAAAAATTGGAATTAATGCATATGACTGAGTAGATCCAAGCAGCACAATTTTTCTGATCTAAAATTAAGTAACGCTATGAAGCAGATCATAATTAAAATCGCTATCAAATGTATATCGTAATAGAGACAATATCTTCGTCCAAACTATCTGGCTGTTACGAGAACAATTACGAAAAGAAACTGACACGTTCGCAAGCTTCAATTAAAAGTAACCATACAATGAATATCTTCTTCTTCAGATTTCGTTTAAACTTTTGATCATTTTACTTGGGAGAAAATGGTTTCTCCTTCTATCTGCTCAATTTAGTTTAGAACGCATACATTAATTTACAAATTGTTATTAAACTGTAAATGGTTTATATCCCGCAGAGGTTGGGGTTTGGGTTGCAACAGTTGTATATAGAAGACTAGTAGCAGCAATAACATTATAAAAGAATAAAAAGCAATAACATTTATTGCTTTTGATTTAATCATGTGCAAAAAAAGACAGAAATATATCGCTGCAATAAACCGAAATTTAAATGGGAGGATGGCGAAAGCATGAAGCTTAGAATAGAAGAGAAATAAAATAGAAGTTGTAAGAAACCTCTAGTAAAAGTGCAGAGTTACAACGACAAAGACAATTTTTTACACATCTGGACATAATGACCAATCGTTCGGGGTTGCTTTAATTATTTTGCAAATAAGTGATGTCCGTTTGTTAGTACGTGTTTTACGTGATACCATTAGAGAAACAGGCTTTTGGAGAACTTACTTGTGTAACTTGTAGCCAAAAAAGCGTGAAGTTTTGGTATTATAAAGCCAAGAATCTGGCAATATTCTACTTCAATTTTATGTCCAAAAATTTTTGGAAATTTTTCGTTATCGCTAAACATTACAAATGAAACAAGGCAAAACTTGCTAAAACCTAACATTTCTATTTCTGGAACTTTGCCGATTTTTTTATGAAACGCATAGCACCAAACCACCACTCATAAAAGCAACTTTTCAGACATTTCTCGCTAGAGTTATCACCGTTACATCGTATTTGTGGATAGTTTATATCGTTCTAAAAGTGTTCAACAATGTTGAACATGCATAAATTTTGGTTTGCTTTTGTGGAAACTCTGAATGGGGTCAATCTAAAGTAGCAAATCCATACACGTATACAAACACACCACTAACGTCTACCATAAATTATCATCAAATCTATCAGCAATTGCTAAAGACAGTACTCAAAGTTGATCGTCTCAAGCACCAGAACTAGACATCTAATTCATTTAAAATATCACGCCGGTCCCCTGATCTTTAACTTTTGAAAGAGTTCTGAGTCAAGTAATATTTTGAAAAAACGCTACCGTTTCTTGTCATTTCTTTATTGCCGTTTTTATACCATTTTCTCCAGAAATCACATTGATTTCACCAAATTGGGACGCAAAATGGAAATTTTCTCCAAACAAAAAGCTGATGTAAAGTAAAGTTATAAAGTTACATTGTTAAATTTTGTGATAAAACTCGTAATATGCGATGTTTCTACCATTGCATTGGTAGTTAAATTAAATTTATAAATAACACGAATTATAAAAATCTAAATAATTTCTTCGATTTTGAATCAGCGGAGTATTTATAGGAAATTAAACTCGATTATTTTGGGCAGAAAATAATAATAATAAAATCTGAAAATGTGATTATTAAACGGTCTATTCGTTAGTATCGTCGGCTTAATTATTATTGGAAGTATTGCTGCTGCAGAAAGATAAATCCCTTTTTTGTGGCCTATATTTTGTTTGAGAATTAAATTGTAGTTAAAACAGTTCTCATTAGATTCTAGTTTTATACTAAAATTTTTAAACCTTCTTATCCAAAAGTAAGTTTTCCAATAACGGTTTCCATATATTTATTGCTACATGTTTTACTGTAAGTGTTTCTTCTCAAGCAACTTAAGTTCTCGCAAGATTTTTACTTCAGTGAACGCATTTGCTTTTGGCGCATACATTTTTATTCCAATTTAATTGCTTTGCGTTGCTCTATTCTTCATTAGTTGTTACTCATGCATGCTTTATGCAGATGCAAAAAGCCATTAAAAGATTAGAGATCAAATTACGAGGCTTGACTTATCGACTTTTAAACGGCAAATATCGTTGGCAACAGCATAAATTTAATTCGTTAGTACTAGATGCTCAATCCAAAGCCTTGGAAGCCGAAGCAGCTCAACTTTTACTATTTTTCATAATTCAGGCCTCTTACAAGTTTCTCGATTTGGTGCAATTATAAACTACAAGCTTCCATGGAAGTTATCGTCAAATTTTTAGGCACTTGCGGTATAACCCGTGGAAAATCTAATGGGATTCCTATGCAGAACATACAACAGCAAACACTTTACGACCAATTTAATTTGCAGGTATCGTTTTCGGGACAAGGGCTGCTTCACACTTCGTGTTATCCCGCGATCCCTATTTCGTAAAGGGCGTGAACGGACCATTCAGGGATAGCGTGTTTCCCAACATGTGGTTGAACCATGCAGGCCAGACTACTGCTGAGAGTGCCCTCGAATATATCATCACCGCACATCCTGCCACCCCGGAGATGACAAAACAAATTGGACACATGTAATTGAAAAAATTATTCCTTTTTTTTGCTTGTGGAGTTTTTCCCTTCGTCTTTGAAACAGACGAATTAAGGAAATTTCAAAACTTATAGGCGATTTTTACTGCTTTGTACAAATACGCAATTCTGATTTCTATACACCCTAGAAAAGCCTTAACGGTGTCTTTAGTAACAAAATCTGATAATGTATTTAGAAATAGTCGTTTTCCTAATTTTCCTACATAAAGTGTCTGTAAAATCTGTATTTATAAAGTCTCTTGATTAAATTTTTATGAAGTGCGCAATTCGGAGCACGGGTGAACAGAACAAACTAAGCACAGATAATCAGGATTTCAATTTCTAAGGAGCTTTTTACACAGCAGTCTTTCAATATCGTCTCAGGCAAAGCATTTATTTTGCACTTAGCAAAAAATTGTACCCTAAAGCAGACTGAAAAATATAATTTTAAGCAACTGTTGTGAACGATAAATATTTCCTGTTCCAGATAGCTTGAACTGTGAAAGAATTCTAAGATTTGGGGCTGCAGAATATCACATGCAATTTAGTTGAAGTCAAGCCATCTGTTTAGACAATTTTAATAACAAATCAGCAGCTGCATTTCATTCAGTAATAGTTAATTAAGCAGAGCGAGTAATCATCAAAATGCGTATCGAAATAAACGTTTCGTTCGATCTCAATAAAAGAAAACGAAATAAGCTGGACACCCAAAAATATTTTATACTAAAGATTGAATCAATAACTATTTTATTACAACTTAATGTGCGATGATATCTGAATCACGTACCTTTACGAACTTTTACAACTTTTTAGGTTTAATCCCGAGCTGGAAAACATAATATTTTTTCCTAAAACTTATTTCAGTTCATATTTTTTTGTAAGTTTGACAACTTTTTCAGGCGGAGCGTTTTAAAATATACACATTTTTGGAATGTTCTGATTTTTTTTTAATTGATTTCGGAGATTTAAGTGCTAAAAGCACACAGCAAACATTATTAAAACCAAATGTTTTCCAAGGAATAAAATAAACCTGCTGACCCTTGGGCACGGCAAACATTTTTATATAATTGTCAAACTAATTTAAAATTTTAATTTAAAAAGATTGGCGGCACAAAAGAACAAAAGGTCAGAAAGTTCAAACTAAAGGGTTTTCTCTTTATTTGCATTCAAAACTGAATAAAATTCCTGAGCCTCGCAACATATCTTTTTTAATTATTGTTACAGGTCCGTGTACACATATTTAAACAAAATTTTGAAAATCAAGGCACAGAAAAAGAAATTGAGCGCCACATCATTTCTGACAAAGGATATTCATGTGATACCTGATTTTGATGGAAACAAGAGTCCACTTTCGGATCCCTCAATTAGAGGAATGGTAAATCATGCGAGTCTATGATTCAAGTGTTTTAATTTTTTATTCCAAATGTGCTTTTATTATTTCATCCAGCGGCCTTGTTATCTCCAGTTACAATATTTTCATTTTCCTAATATTAAATCAAATACGTCTATTCTTTGTAGATTTCTGGCCTAAGCCTGACAACAAGCCTAGAATCGTTGGCTTATTTGTACTTAGCAACCATACAGAGCTTAGCGGTAAGAAACATTTTTTGTAGAATAATCAGTGTAAATTTTAAATGAAGGAATGCCTTTGCCTGAATATTTGCATGCATTTTGTATAAGGAATAAAATTAAATTTAAATCATTTGCTAAAAACTGCCCTTTTAATGCGATTTGTCACAATGAATGAATTGAATATCCGGATAATAGCAATTACGATTTTAACAATTATAAAATTGCTTCTAGGTTCAGTCGTCTTAAATTAGGTTTTAATTATTTGTAGACAATGAAGGAATAAACACCTCGACAAGTAAAACGCAGCAGCGTTACGGGCTTTAAACTTTAATTCGGATACTACTTAAATCTATCGCGAACAAAATAATTAATTACGTCTTTCTTGGGAGAACTTAACCGGAAATAGAAATAAAGATATTTAAGCTGAAATCCCACCTAGATCCAAGTACTTTTATTTCTACTCTAAGTGGGTTACAACTAAAGCGTAAATTGCATCAATTTGAGCCTAGAACAAGTAGTTTTCTGGATAATGTGGCCTGCTAAATCCTGAAATAGACAATTCTTGAAAGTAGGAGAAAATGGGAAACCGAATAGTGCCTGTGCAAACCGTATAGACATACATTAATTTTAGTACAGCACAAGACATATTATGAGTGGACTGGCTCAGCAAGGTCACGAAATAAAATGCATCTTGATTGGGGGAGATCTTGGACAAAATTCGTTATTTGCTAATCTTCAGAAAGATGTTTGCCAGATGCCCATTGTAAGTCCGCAAGAGCCGAGATCTAAACTAATAGGAGCAGCTATTTTAGGTCAGTATAAATATTGAAAATAATTTAACTGATGGCCGAAAAATGCCTATCCTTCCTTGAAAGTTGCGACACTTTACTTTAATTACGCACGAACATCCAAAGATTAAGGAAAATATTGTACGATTGTATATAAAGACCGAAGTGAAAATGGCTTCAAAGCTCTCTCCTTTATTAAACATAAAAGTTGCAGGGATATAACAACAGAAGATAATCTCATCCAATTAAGATATTTCAGCTAGTTAACTTTTATCTGAGGAACAGGGCCAGTGAAAAACATTATCATCAACAAACTAAATCTATTGTTTTACTGCAGAGAACAACAGCTTTTCTTGCCATCATTGTTAGATTATCGCGCGCCTTAGTTGGGATCTAATTTCTATGAAGCTAAACAAAGTTCAGATAGTGTTCTAAGGTGGCAAGTAATTACTCAAACTGCAATGTCTGAAAATAACACAACAATTGCACAATTTAGAAAAGAAGCGAAAGATGTACGCGACAATCTATTAACTAACATTCCTTCAGACTTTCAAAGACGAAGTTGTTTGCAAAATGGTTCAGAAATTACGTTTGCTTCTTTGAGATAAACAAAAAGTACTTCTATAGTTTGGGTAAAATTATTTCATACACCCTTGTTTCAGAAAAAGGATTAATTTTTTAATTATTATCCTTTTGAGATATTCTGTTCCCCGAAAATTGAAATAGTTTCCAGGCAATAAATAAACTCTGAATTTTTCAGGCCTCTAAATACTTCCTCAAGCTTTTCCTTAGCTTTTTATATCATGATTTCCGAATAAAAGGTTTTGTTTTCTCGAAAGCATGCAAGTGTATATACGTGCTTGAAGCTGCAAAGCTGTCTGCATGTAAACCTGCAAATTTGAATATGCCTATCTTCAGAAAGAGTGTTGATCATATATTCTATGTAAATTGCAGACATATTTGTATAGAAAGCTATTATTGCCAGTTCGAATAAATTTTCTGTTTGTACATTTTGAAAAATATTTTAACAAACATGTTATTAAATGGGTTAAATTTTGAGGAAGTACTGTGCCACTTTTGAAAACTGATTCCGAGTGGGGTCAATTTGAATAAGATTCAAAATTTTGAAGATTGGAAACTGCCTGCAACTTTCCTCTTTCAATTTAGGATTTTTGATAATTTCCATTCAGATCTCGATTAGAGCCAAAATCTGTAAGTTTTTCTCCACTATTGAGTAGTAAAAAAAATGCAGAAATTCTTTATTTCTATATTTCAATATTGTGGATTTCCAGCTGCTGTTGCCTCCAAAACTTTTCCTGATTTTCGTCATGCCAGTCGAGAAATGTGCGGTATGGGTCAAGTAGTTTTACCAACTACAAACGCGGACGAAATCAGCTATCACGAGCGAAAATATCAAGTTTTCCTGAAAATGTACGATCACCAACTGCAGTACCGAAAAATTATGAGCGGTGGTTTAGAAAATTCCAACTGCAAAATTTGAAGTAACCACTGATTGTAATTCAAGTTCTGGCAAATTAAAATGTGAAACCATTACTATCTCCCATTATTGCAATTATTGTGAAAATTTTGATTCATTTCAAAATGAAAAAAATTGGGATTTTAACAACGTTCAATGAGGAATTTCCATTGATAATGCAATGTGGCTCAATATTCAAACATTGAAGCACACGTTATTAATGACGACTTGGCCAGAATTTCGATCCTAATTTAAAAAAAATCTGTAACATTTCATCACAATTAGATTTGAAGTGCTGTATATTTTTATATTCAGGCTAATAGTAAGACACCACGTTTTCTTATTTGCTACACGTTTATTAGCTCAAAAATTTAAACTAAAAATTTACGAAGAAAAGTCACAATAAAAGTGGTTAAGAAACATTTCTTAAGAACATGTTAGCTTAATGGTTCAATACCTTTAGTTTAAATTGGCATTAAACCAATCAAGCTTTTAACTCGTTTGAACTTACCAAATCTTTGCTTCTTTCAAGTCGTTGACCGTTTTTCCACCATGTTATAGTGGCCGGCGGTCTTGATCCTGTACTATTACACCGAAGTTCGTATCTCCTTCCAGCTGAAAGTGGCTGTTTCGTAAATCCCAAAACTGCATCTAAAGGACCAACTGAAAAAAAACATTGTTTCATTGTGTAAACTTTCCACACCTCAATGCAGATTTATGAAACTGACCGCATTTTAGACCCAATTGATCGTCATTAAAATCAATTCAAGTTTGCACTTGAAGTTGTAAACGAACAATTCTCATAAAGTTAATGTATGGAAAGAATTTGTTCGGAAAACGTATACAAGATACTATGCTACATTGCACATTACAGCAATTTTATTGTACCCGAAAACCATAAAATAAACATTTTCTCTCGGAGAGCATTCTGGAACGCAGAATAATAAAGGAACATCGTTTTCTTTTATTCATATTTATAGTGTTCATTCCTGGAAAGATAATCTACTTTAAGAAGTATTTTGCGGCAAAACCAATAAAAAGTTAAATTGGTTTTAGTACCTGGTATGATTTCAAATTACTTAATGCAATAAATAAAATTACCGTCGGGAATTTTCATCAAAATTTCAACGAAAAATCAGAAAAAATCAGAGTAATTGCAAAAATGACTATTTTAGTAGCATTTTGACTTTATTACCTACTTCATATAAATTGGTTTTTATACTTATTCAGAAATTGTGTTTTATTATTAAATGCCTAAAACATTTATTTTATTTTATTTAATTGATTGTTTAAAATCAGATTTTGCCACGTTGAAAGGAATCTTTTTCAGTCTCTCTGTATTTGCCAATATTTTCTTGAACAGCTTTGAATTTTGATTAACAACATGTTCTGAAAAGTCACTCCAATGCTTTTGATTTACTGAGCGTCTTAATTTATAATTATTTTATTAGGCCATCTAAAGTTTACAAAATCGCACTTTAGACATACGTTTTATCAGTTCCTAAGAGACATATTTCGACCATTCCTGAATAGTAACAAGATTCGATGTCATTAACAGTTTTTGAGCACCAAAGAAGCTTTTAGTTAGTCACGATAACGCCCCAACTGTTAAAAAACTCAATTAGAGAAGCAGACAGATAAATTTGCGCTACGTAAAATGGCGACTTTTTATCGGGATGATTTAATATTCCAAGTGCTTAGTGCACAGTGATGTTCGAAGTTAGAGACAAATTATTGTGGTTTTTATGGGTCTTTTAACGAACTAGATACGGTCTTTCAGTTTTATGACTTTCTTTCGGTAACTTTTGCTCCAAGTGTTTCATTTCATTATTTATTACGGGGAAGATACATAATTAGTGTTAGTGGAGTCTTACTAGATAAAAATTAGCATGGATACTCTACGCTTTGAAACTATGAAAATTTTCTCATTAATGATTCCAAAAATGATCTTGGTGGTCGCGTCGTACGAAACTTTTTTTAAGTTTACTAATAATGCAAGAATAACTATTGAAGCTTTTTTACACGAAAATACACAATCGCTAATGCTATGAGAATCAACTAGAATTTGGTATGGTTATTGGATCTGATTAAATTTTGTCCATTGAGCACCAGAAGCAAACGTAAATAAACAATACGTTTCAATTGCGAACCGTAACAATAATCTTTCACATACATCACAACCAGCCATGGATTTTTTAAAAGGGGCGTTTTGATTGAAGCGTACTCGAGCTGATTCTTCTTTTTTCCGCTTCCGCATTCAATTACTCACTTTTTCCCGAATGAGCAGATGATGTAAATTTGCCGGAAGTTTGGAAAGGGCCTGCATCCGTTAACAGTTAATTTCAAATGCATTGAAAATGTCATGATGTCCTGTTTTGGTTGGGAAGCAAACCAATAGTTACTTTGCCTTTTTAGTAATCAATCATACTAAGCTCCCCATTCTAGAATAATTTGTGCAGACGAAATATTTGTGCTGGCCATTATCTGATACTTATATATTATAAAATACAGGTGCCTTTGTTTGGATCTAGTGTTTTTTGTTGGGGTCTTTTACAAAAGTTTGGTAAAATATATCAAGACTTACAGTTCATATCGACATGTAGAGTAGCTGCATGTGGTTGCGATCTGTTGTTGTTTGATGCTTGACACGTTAGTTCTGAGTGGACGTCTTTTCTGCTTAGGTTTGCTATTCTCAACTCACTGCTCACCACTCTGGAGTTATTTGGAAATACAATAGTTGAAGAGACACCGATATTGGTGCCATTTACCACCGGCTGATCATTAATCAACCAGATAATTTTTGGTGGCGGTTTTCCTAAAACAGAAATAATTTTTAGACTCCGTTCAGTTTGATAATATACATTGTAGAAGTCATTTCATTATTGGCTTATCTGAAAGCGTTTACCAAGTTCGAATTATTTTCTGAACAACTAGATATTGTGAAGGAAGTTTGGCCAAAAACTTTACTCTAAATGATATGAAAGGACCCTTAAATTGCATGATAATTTCAAAATAATCCCCAGCTAGAATGAAAATATTCACGTCTAATATTGTATAATTGATTTCCAGACTTCAAGGAGACATCAAGACCGTTTTCTATAAAAAAACCTAATAAATTTTTAACTCAACTTAATGATACTGGGTTTGTCACAATAGTCCCGACGGTAATCACTTGAATTATGTGAATATAATCGGACAATATGAAATTGCATTTTGTTAACATTTTCCTCATTAGGGTTTAAAAAGAACCATTTTTTTGTCGCACACACATCGTACATACTTAGGAAACTCTAGATTTATTTTGAGCACCATTCTAGATTGGACTGGACAATGCTAAACGGCTTAAAAATCGGCTTTGCATATAGTCATGTCCGTGTTCAGGGATTTGTTTGTATCTGGATGGTCATCTAGTCGGAACAAGCTTAAAAAGGTAGAATTGATATAACGAATTCCGAGAATCCTCACTAATCCAGAAAAATGTGAAGAAATAAGTTTGGCGTTGACAATATTACGCTATTCCTAAACCCTTACATGATCTATCTGTGCTGTCCGAGAAATGTATGTGTTGAATTTGTACACGTTACGGTAAATGATTTAGATTTCTTTTGAAGCAATAAATTCAAGTATAAAACGCTGTTCGAAACAGAAAACTTTTCGAGATAGTGCGCCCGACAATATCTCAGATTTATACGTAATAAATTGTTTTCGAAAGCAAAAAACACCCAGTCCGAGCGAGCCAATCTGATGTTCGTTTGGACTTTCCAGCTAATATAAGGCTTTATTTTTTCAAATGTGTTTTCCTATTGTGAGATACAACTGGAAGATCAACTCGATATTTCGTTTTCCACTCTTTATAAGCCCTAAGTCGTTGAAAGGTTATTTAGTTTTTTAAATATACTTTTTATGCAACAACATTTAATTTACTTTTAAAATTGAGCTGACATTTTATTTGATTGAAAAAATGGATTTAATGGATATTAATGGATATTCGAGAACCTGTAAGGAACATGATGTTTTAGGACTAAAAAAAAGCTTAAAAATTAATATTTTATAAATAAATGTGTGACTGTTTTTAATATAAATTTATAATCCAACAGAAAATAAAATTCTAAGTGCTTCAAATCCCTGATTTGGATTATTTTCTTTGCAACAATTTCTTGTTAATCTTTAAAAAAGTTTCCTTTTGGAATGTTTCATTTTATATCAGAATTAACTGACTACTGACTACTAAGTGAAATATATCGCTCATTTGTTCGAGCATAGTTTTTATGATGTAGGTAGGATGTATATCAATTAGGCCCGCTTATGGTAACATGTTGCAGGACTTTTTTACTAATTATTTTTGATACAACTAATGATGGTGCCGGGAATAGAAGACACTAAAGATACATTACGTGAATCACTCTGCGAAACATGAGCCTATTAAAAAAATAATTTAGGAATGATACAGCATATATCATCGGTATCAAATAACTTATGAGTTTATGCAGGTACAATATGAAATAAGAAATCATATATAATTGCGTTTGCTTAAATAGCGTACGCTAACGCTCGATATGTTAGTAATATTTGAAACATGTTTAGACTAGAAAACTGACAGGTCCCTAATTTTATAGCAACTAGCTTAACTGCAAACGTTTTTTTATCGCATATTGGCCTGTTAATGGAAATTTAAAAACTCAAACGGCCTGTTTCTAGTTAGTGCTTTGCTTAAATCAAAAAAATATCAAGTGCTGATGAAAAGTGGCACTCACTGTAGATATTGTTACGCTCTACTCAAGCAATAATAATAATCCTGAAAGAAAATCTTCTCCAAGAACTGCCAGTATAGATAATTGTAGACGGACACCAGAATGGGAAAATTTTTTTAATGGGCTAGTTCAAAAATATTTTTTGCAACGCTGAATCTGTTTATACAACAATTCGTAATTCTTAATAAATGCTATTCAAAAATTAATATGAAGCACATGCAGAATATATTTTATAAGAATTTCTTTAGACATAACCTGATGAGCACTTTCAACAGTCAACCATACAAAGTGAAAAAGTTTACTAATAATATTTAATGCTCAATTGCATTTTTTACATATTCCTTTTTGTTGCTTTAATAACTTTCTTTTTTGGCATTCTATAGCCAAATAAGTGTTCTACTTCCAAACAAAAAGTTAACGCTGACTACGCTGAAAGTTTTATTTAGGGTCATATACACACCTAAGAGAACTTTTTCAATATGTTTCCGCCTGTTTAGATATGTAAGTATTTCAATTTATTTTCTGTTGGTTTAGGAAAAGCCTGTCGTTTCATGCGGCTTTCCGAAGTGATGCATTGCCCTACAAGTTGGATTTAATGGCGCAGGTTATTTTGAAAAATACCTTTGTTGAATGTTACATATGAACTTATTATAATAAAACTCCGGAAAATCGATTAGTTTTTACATGTTTAAGTTGACGACAAATTAAAATTAAATAAATTTTACTATATTCAATAAATTCAACCCTATTTCGCGTCAACTAAAAAAAATTGGCCAAGGTCTTGTTTTTGAGAGACATTTCAAATGATCAGTACATAGAACACTATTTAAAAAATCGGTTTACAAATTTTTAATTGCAAATAAAAATGATTTTTTTTCCAAATTTGAATGTTGCTCAACTAAAGTAAAATACATTTCAATCGTACATCTAAAATATAAACATTTATTCACTGTTGGCATTTAATTTTAGTTTTGCTCATTAAACAGAAAATAATAAATTTTCTCTTTAAACTATGTCACATACACAAAAAATAAATCGATTTTTTTTAATGGCACATTTAAATTAAATAATAGTTTATGATTCAAATATAGCATGGAAGTCTTAGGACAAACATTTAGACATCGGCCTATATATTTAAAATTTACCCTATCGACTTTACGCCACTCGTTTTCCATTTCGTTTCTTCCGCATTTTTATTGCGATAGTTCGTTACTTTCGTGGTTTTTGGACTCCACTTTTATGACTCTTATCGGTTCAGGATTATCGCCAAAGGCCAAAGCCCAAACCATAGATAACAAATGAACCTTGGAAACAGAACCTTTGAAAAGGATCTTTTGGGGCATCTGAAATTGTATGCACGAGCAGTATGGATTAAGTTTTTGTTAATATACGAAACTCTACAAGCTTACTAACGTTTAGTTCAATGTATTGAAGTATTACAAGTCCTGGAAAATACTATGTTGATAGTATCAATAAACTTAATCCGGAGAGTTTCAATCTAGCTTAAAATATCGTGTAAGATTCTTTTTCTATAGGCTAATAGCAGCTCCAGTGGAAAAGTACTTCAAACACAATCGTCTATTTTCCACAATAATGATTTTCAAGAATATTCAAACGTAAACGTGTGCTTTACAGAGTTTCTAATGTAAATTGTAAAGCACGTAAGGCAGCATATTTCAAGACCTTATATGGGTAAGTTGGCTCTATACCCTCGACGCAAGAAGTTATTAATATAGTTAAATGGAACACAAAAGCGGCAAACGGAAGTCTGGATTACTAGAACGTCTGTTTTTGAAAGAGAAATATAATACGACCATTGTATTAGCTAATTGAACCAACGTACCTTAAAATTTACACATGATGTAAACTTTGCGTAGCTAAATAAACATATTAGCCAAAGCCAGAAACTTCTTTTGAGTGTTTAAATTTTAAGCCGGAAATTTTTCGGTGATTTTAATAATGGGCAAGTGAGCAAACAATATTAGTAAACCGATGAAACTTTTTTGCTTCAGCGGATTTTAATAATTTCTAAACTTCAGTGCTTTGTCAATCAGAGCAAGGTAACAAATCTTTTTAAAACAGCAGTTGAAAATAAGAACTAATAATAAACATAAATAGCAAAAAGTGTATTTAAATAAATTGGAAGATTGAGAGTTTAAAACATCCAATTTTCTGAAACTTTTAAAATTAACAAATTAAACAAATTAACCAATGTTGAAAAGGTACCGAATACGCTTCTGAATAACAAGCGGCTTTAGCCTTTGATTATTGCTTCCATCAATAAAATAAATAACCTTTAAATATAAATGCATTAAATTTACTATTGCTACTCTTGAAACATATTGAAACAAAATTTTCATATTCTATATGTACGTTAGAATGGCAGTTGAAAAATAGACATGATATTTCTAGCACTGACCAGAAATTTGCTGGCTTTAAAGACATGTAAAGCGATTTGATCGTAGTGCGGATATTTCACTCAAAGTAGTATATTTTCTAAATTTTTCTTTTCGGAACACCCGATCGAATATTTGCGAGCTCTCGAAAGGATGCCAACCAACATGCTAGCCAAGAAAGCTGTTTTGACCCTTATCGACTTCCTTGTAACCCTCTTGTAATCTTGCCATCTTACTGATGTTTCCTTAAGCATCCTCTTTCCGCTGTTCACCCGGGATCGATTCAAAATTTGCACCCTAAAGCTCTAAATAATAATTGATAAGAATCTATCTAGAGAAATGGCGAAACCGGATAAAAAGCAATGATTAAGCAATAAACTTTCTATCTGTCCAAAATATATGTATTTATTTTTATTCGCAAAAACATAAATTTTTATTCTAGGTATATTGAAGGCAAAAATATACTTCCTCACATGAACAGTACAAACGAAGTCATTTAATCTATTTTCACTCTTTTTTACTCGATTATATTATTTTATTGCATTCAATCTAAAATTACTTTAGAGTTAAAGTGGTACGCAAAAACAAATTTAAAACTGTCTATTGACCGAGAAAGTTGGGGGTTTCACTAAATGCTTCTCATATTTTCTTGATATCCACATCCTTCC